ATTTGGGAGAGATTCCAGGCCGGAAAACCCCTAAATCGTGGTTCCACGGCCTTGGCTGGCGCCCCTGGGACCCACGGCGGCCCCGAGGATGGCGGCAACCATGATTTTGGAGAGATCCAGGCCGGAAAAGCCCGAAATCATGGTTCCCAGCTCTGGCTGGCGCCCCTGGGACCCACGGCGGCCCCGAGGATGGCGGGAACCATGATTTTGGAGAGATCCAGGCCGGAAAAGCCCGAAATCATGGTTCCCGGCTCTGGCTAGCGCCCCTGGGACTCACGGCGGCCCCGAGGATGGCAGGAACCATGATTTTGGAGAGATCCAGGCCGGAAAAACCCGAAATCATAGTTCCCGGCTCTGGCTAGCGCCCCTGGGACCCACGGCGGCCCAGAGTTGCCAGAGATCCAGCTGCTCTCTGCTGTTCTGCTGCTCTCTGCTGTTCTGCTGCTCTCTGCTGTTCTGCTGCTCTCTGCTATTCTGCTGCTCTCTGCTGTTCTGCTGCTCTCTGCTGTTCTGCTGCTCTCTGCTGTTCTGCTGCTCTCTGCTATTCTGCTGCTCTCTGCTGTTCTGCTGCTCTCTGCTGTTCTGCTGCTCTCTGCTGTTCTGCTGCTCTCTGCTGTTCTGCTGCTCTCTGCTGTTCTGCTGCTCTCTGCTGTTCTGCTGCTCCTCTGTGTTTTCTGCAGCTCTCTGCTGTTCTGCTGCTCTCTGCTGTTCTGCTGCTCTCGTGCTGTTCTGTGCTCTCTGCTGTTCTGCGCTCTCTGCTGTTCTGTGCTCTCTGCTGTTCTGCTGCTCTCTGCTGCTCTGTGCTCTCTGCTGCTCTGTGCTCTCTGTTGCTCTGCTGCTCTGTGCTCTCTGCTGCTCTGTGCTCTCTGTTGCTCTGCTGCTCTGTGCTCTCTGCTGCTCTGTGCTCTCTGCTGCTCTGTGCTCTCTGCTGTTCTGTGCTCTCTGCTGCTCTGTGCTCTCTGCTGTTCTGTGCTCTCTGCTGTTCTGCTGCTCTCTGCTGTTCTGCTGCTCTCTGCTGTTCTGCTGCTCTCTGCTGCTCTGTGCTCTCTGCTGCTCTGTGCTCTCTGCTGTTCTGCTGCTCTCTGCTGTTCTGCTGCTCTCTGCTGTTCTGCTGCTCTCTGCTGTTCTGCTGCTCTCTGCTGTTCTGCTGCTCTCTGCTGTTCTGCTGCTCTCTGCTGTTCTGCTGCTCTCTGCTGTTCTGCTGCCCTCTGCTGTTCTGCTGCTCTCTGCTGTTCTGCTGCTCTCTGCTGTTCTGCTGCTCTCTGCTCTGCTGCTCTCTGCTCTGCTGCTCTCTCTGCTGTTCTGCTGTTCTCTGCTGTTCTGCTGCTCTCTGCTGTTCTGCTGCTCTCTGCTGTTCTGCTGCTCTCTGCTCTCTGCTGTTCTGCTGCTCTCTGCTGTTCTGCTGCTCTCTGCTGTTCTGCTGCTCTCTGCTGTTCTGCTGCTCTATGCTGTTCTGCTGCTCTCTGCTGTTCTGCTGCTCTCTGCTGTTCTGCTGCTCTCTGCTGTTCTGCTGCTCTCTGCTGTTCTGCTGCTCTCTGCTGTTCTGCTGCTCTCTGCTGTTCTGCTGCTCTCTGCTGTTCTGCTGCTCTCTGCTGTTCTGCTGCTCTCTGCTGTTCTGCTGCTCTCTGCTGCTCTCTGCTGCTCTCTGCTGCTCTCTGCTGCTCTCTGCTGCTCTGGATTGGTTTTCGCTCGGTTGGTTTTCGTTTGAACGGATTACCTTTTCGCTCGAACGAGCGTCTTTTCGCTTGAACGATCCACCCCTCTGCGTGCGTCGGTCATTGGTCGAGTGCTGGCCGGCACTCCTGCGAAGAATACAAAAACCATACCATTTTAGAAAGGGCACGGGAGCACACACACACATAAATAGACACTAATCCCAATATTGCCCATATTTTCTAACATTCCCTTGGTTTTCGTCTTCGCCTCCACTTCCCATAGTTTCCCATATTTCCCTGGGAGTCGACGATTACTGGTGTCTGTGTGCTTTTTCCCCTCCTGACATTTTCTGGAAGGTCCATGCGGCCCTTGCATGCCATTGGGGGGGCATGCGTCCTGTGGAGATGCCAGGGCCCGCAGCACCGAGGGCATCGCGGCAGGAGGGCCGCCCATAATCAAATCGACAAGTCGGATCGGCGATCGAAACGAATCGGATCGGCGGAAGTCGGCAGCCGCGTCGGGAGAAGTCGAATCGGCGGACATCGGCAGGCTGGTGAGGCCTCCACTGGGACGCCGAACTCCAGATCGGAATCTGGGACCGAACCAGATCGGACTGAGAACCGATCGACGTCGAGATCGAATCGAGTCGGAAGAGACGAAATGAGCCCGGTCGAGGAGGATCGGGCGGGGAGCAAAGCGGGGTGGCCGGAATGGGGGGCAAAGGGAAGGGCCCTCAAGGGGTGCTCCCCTCTGCAGGGGAGCCAGCAGGGGCCCAAAAGTGGCCCGCAAGGGCCCTCGTCTCCACCCCATAGGTAGGCCACCGCCCATTCCCAGGCATGCGATGTCCTGATTTTTGTGAATGCTGGGCTGTTTTTAGTACATAGGGTTTTTAAAAACATAGAATTGTAATTCATGATTAGTTTATGAATAAATGTATGCATGAATTCATCGTTGTTTTTAATACTGAATCCCTGCATTTGTAATACGGCACTGTACGGGGTCCCTGGAAGTCCCGACCCTGTCCCCAGGACCGGTTCTTTGTCCTGGGTTGAATCTTGACGGTCCCGAGGCCCGGCGAACGCCCCCCGCGGTCGAAGACTGGCAAAAACCTCCCGTCCTGCCTTTTTAACGATGCGATCATGTCTGGGTCACCAACCGCCCGAGCTCGCCATCGCTCGGACGTCCAATCCCTGTGTTTGTTTGGTTTCGTGCGTGGCTTTTTCGCCAAATGATCAAGGATGCTCCTCGATGGTCCTCGCCGAAAGAAAAACGCACACGTCCGAGCGATGCCAGGCGAGAGGAGGAGCGCGACGACGACCTGCCAGTGCCGGGGCCTCTTCATCTCCGCCTCCTGTCGCAGCTTGGTGTGCGCATCGCTGCCCGACTCCTGGGGGGCGGGAGGAGGAGGAGGAGGAGGAGGAGGAGGAGGAGGAGGAGGAGGAGGGGGAGGAGGGGAGGGGAGGAGAAGGAGGAGGAGGAGGAGAGGAGGGAGGAGGAGGGGAAGAGGAGGAAGAGGAGAAGGAAGAGGAGGGGGGAGGAGGAGCAGGGGGAGGAGGGGGAGAAGGAGGAGGAGGAGGAGGAGGAGGAGGAGGAGGAGGAGGGGCGCCCCCATCGGGCGCGCCCGCGGGAGCACCATCGCTTTTTGTCCCCCGAACGTCCGAAGATGTCCTGCCCCAGACACGATCGCGCCGTAAGCAAAAGTCAGGACGGGAAGCCTTGGGCCGTTCTCGGCCTCAGGGGACCCTCGCCGCGCCTCGGGACCGTCAAAGAATAGGGGGCCCAAAAATATACACCACCACCACCTCCCTCCCCGCCTCCCTCTCGCTGGAAAGGAGAGAGAGGAGGAATCGACGTGGTGGTGGTGTATATTCTTTGGGTCCCCAAAGAAGGACTCGGGATGAAAAAAACGGCGCTGGGGAAAGGGTCTGGACTTCCAGGGACGCCGTACTGAAAAAAAATCATGACCTCGCACGTCTGGGGCTGCAGCCCAGAGATCCGACGTCATGATTTTCTCGACACGGGGTCCCCGGAAGTCTCGATGCATTCCCCAGGACCGGTCTTTCATCCTGAATGCTGAATCGTTGATTGACGGTCCCAGGGCCCGGAGAGGGACCCCGAGGCCGAAAACTGCGAAAAACCTCCGTCTCGATTTTTCAAGTCTGGACTTCCAGGGGCGCAGCATTGAAAACATCAGGACCTCGCACGTCTGGGGCTGGAAGTGGCTGTCCGAAGTATTCAGGGGGCGGGGAATCCAGGCACCACGGAATCAGCCTGGCCAGCGCGAGCGTCGCAGTTGCGGGCGAGAGAGGAGCAAGGAGCACGGGGAAGAACGTGGGGCCCGCGTGCGTACAATCACGGTGCTGGTGAGTCCCCGGGCCCCCTCGGGTCATGAACACAGACACGACAGGCGGTCTTGGACCATTTCCAGCCTCTGGGAGCCCTCGCCGGGGCCCGGGGCCGTCCACAAAAAAAACGACGCAGGAGGAGAAGCTGGTAAGAGTGCTGCTGCAGAGCACCTCGGCCTCAGCGTAAACTCTTGGATTTCACCATGATGGCATCGATATCTTCGGCCACCGCCTTCGCCAGCAGGCCTCCAGATGCTTGCTTGCCACGAGGCGTGAAGGCGCCCCGTGATACCTCGAGCACCTCTCGTGCCGCCGGCGGTGCGATGCGCTGAAAAGCCGGTTCGGGGGCATGGGTCGGGACCTGCAGCGTCCACCCCAGACCTGCGACGTCCTGCTTTGTTCACGTACTGCGTCCCCGGAAGTCCAGACCCTTCCCCTGGGGAATGGGTCGGGACCTGCAGAGTCCACCCCAGACCTGCGACGTCCTGAGTTGTTCACGTACTGCGTCCCCGGAAGTCCAGACCCTTACCCCGGGCCAGTTTTCTCGCCCTGAGTCGTTTTTGCTGACGGTCCCGGGGCCCGGCGAGGGCCTCCCGAGGCCGAAGATAGCGAAAGATCGCCCGTCCTGTTTATACGGTGCGATCCTGTCTGGGACGGCTAGCAAGAAATCTGGGGTCTCGGTCGCGAGCCCCACCATGTGAGCAGGGACCGACCGTCCTGGCATTCCTATAAACCTACCACGGAATTTTCTTAGAACCCATACATGTTCTAAGAACAAAGACAATGTTCTTAGAACATGAACCCGATGTGCTTTAACAAGACAGGCTCAGCCAGAACTATTACAAAAACATTTCGTGCAGACCACACAAGGTTCTTAGAACATTCTTGGATGAGCCTGCAGGCGAGCCAAGACGCCTAGCCACTGTTAGGAAACAACTGCTGGGAGGTCTGCGTCGGAAAGATTGAGGAGGAGTAAGCCCCATTACGGGGATGTTGCGCCAGAGTGGGCTTCGGATTCAGCGGGATTCAGTCGGAGCCAGCGGGGTTAAGCAGGATTAGGCGGGATTGAGCCGTATTAAGCCAGACTTCGGACCAGGGCAAAATCAGAATTTCACCTCCCAGGAGTTGCATCCGAACCACTGCTTGAAAATCTGGGGTCTGGGTCGCGAGCCCCACCGCGCAGCCAGCCGCACCGCCCGCCGCTCTCGCGCGCCGCCCCCCCCTGGAAAGGGCACCCTCTGCACAGGCAGGGCACTGCCGCCGTGCCCCCCCTCCCCCCGCCTCCCGCCGCACCAGGGCTCCACGGGCCAGTCCACCATCGATCCTCCTCCTCCTTCGTCCTCCAGCATCCCCTCCTCCTCCTCTCCTCCCCCCCCCTCCCCCTCCTCCTCCCCCTCCTCCTCCTCCTCCTCCTCAGCCTCCTCTTCCTCCTCTTCCTCCTCTTCCTCCTCCTCCTCCTCCTCCTCCTCCTCCTCCTCCTCCTCCTCCTCCATGCGGGGCGCCGCACAAGCAAGGAGTGTGCGAGGCGGGGATTCATAACTACCCCAGACATGCGACGTCCTGACTTTTCAATGCGGGATCGTGGCGCCACCATTCGGCGGCGCGCACAAGGGGATGGAGGGAGGGGGGAGGGCTTCTCAGAAGGAGGCTGCTTCTTAGAAGGTGCCGGCCTTACGTCTACAGATAGGGCCCGCGCCTTCTTAAGGAGCAGGGGTGCTTCTAAGAAGCCCTTCCCCCCTTGAGTTTTCGGCCTCTGGAGGCGCTCGCCGGGCCTCGGGACCGTCAAAAAACGACTCGGGACGAAAAACCAGTCCCGTGGTAGTGGTCGGGAGGTCGGGGGCCCGTGTCTCGAAAAAATCGAAACGTCGGAGGGCGCTGGGGCGACGCGGAGGGCGCCGGCAGCCCGCCCCGCCCGACGGCTGCGAGCCGGCCGCTGGCGCCGAGGGGCGGGCGGCTGCTGGCGCGCCAGAGCACGCGCCGCCCTGGCCCGAGGGGCCGGCCGCGGCGCCGGGCCCCTGCCGGGCGCCCGCGACCCGCTGCGCGGCGCCGCGGAGGGAACGCGCGGCGCCAGCCTGCTCGGCAGGGGGGGCCGCGCGGCGCCAGGGCGGGCGCGGCGGCAGGCGCGGCGGCCGCGCGCCCCCGGGCGGCGCCGGCCCCAGCGCGGGCGGCGTGGGCGCCCTGGCGCTCGCCCGCGAGGAGCTGCCGCGGGGCGACCTGCGACCCGCGACCGCCTGGGCGCGGGCGGCTGGGCAGGCGCGCAGGAAGTCGCGCAGCATGCTGGGGGTCGCCCCGCGCGGACGCAAGCAGCTTCCCGCGAGGCGCGCGGGGCGCTCGTGGAGGCCTCCGCGGCGATCCGCAGGAGGAGCACGCAGCGCGGGGCCGCGGGCTGTTGGCCGCCGCCGCCACCGGGCCGGCCGGGCCAGTCTTGGGCGGCCCCGCGCGCGCGTCGCGCTCAGCTCCGCTCGCGCCGACGCGGCCGCGGCGCGCCGGCGGTGCGCGGGCCCCGGCGGGCGGCTGAGCGCGCGCACGCGCGGGCGCGCACGCTCGGGCGCGCGCGAGCGCCGCCCCGTCCGCCCCCCTTCCCCTCCCCGCGCCCTCTGTCGTGTCGTCTCTTCGTCGTCGTTTCCCTTTCTCTTGCCACAGGGCTCCTCTCGGCTGTCACAACAAAAAGCGGCAACAAAAAAACGCGGCTGCGGCCATGCGGGCACGCTGTGCCCTGCGAGGCGGGATCGGGTGCAGCTCCGCTCCGCGGGGCGGGGGGTCGAGAGATGCTCGCGACAGTGACGCCTGGGGACTGGGACGTGGATAGGCGTGTCGCGCCGAAGCGCGGTGGGCCAGAACCGGCTGAGCGATACGCTAAGCGACAGTTCCTGACCGTATCTTTGCGCCCCTGCGGGGGCCGCGTCGAAGCAAACTGGGCCGAGCAAAGTCGGACGCTGCCCGATGCGTCCGTCTCAGTGACTGGTGGCGCTGCACGTGGCGGATGCGGCACGCGCCTGCTTACGCTCCAGACACCCATCGATTCCCCCTCCCCTGCCCTCCCCGCCCAATCTCGGGAGCGGCCAAGAAGGGGGTGTCCAAGAGGAGGGGGTGCAAATCATGACCAGCGGCATGTGCGCGGCCCAGCGGGGGGGGGGGGTGCCAGGGACGTATTAAAACAAGAAGAGGCGCCATGAAATCTGGAAAAATATCATGGCCCACGCCATGATATCCACCCCCCCTAGTCGTCACCCCCCTCTTTTCCCTCCCCGCCCAGTCTCCTCCCCCGGCTCATCTACAGTTGGGAACTCTTGTTCAGCGTGTCGCCACGGCGGTCCCGGCGACACGCTGTGCCCTGCGAGCGGGTGGCGTGTCGCTCTGCCCCGCGGGGCAGGGCGGCCGGGAAGAGCTCGCGGGGCACTGGCACTGGCACTGGGGGTCTGGGCCGTGCATGGCGTGCCGCGCCGAAGCGTGCTGGGCCAGGACCAGCCGAGCGACTCGCGGAGCCAAAACTCCCCCTCGTACCCATCGCTCCCCTCCCCCCGTCTCCTCCCCTCGCAACACCCCTCCCTCCTCCCTGGGAGCCCGACGGCGAGTCCTTCACGGAGAAGAACATCGGCCCCAGCTCCGCCAGCCAGTAGGGCTCCACCGCCGTCACCGTGTTCATGTACTCCTTTGTGGTGTACATTACCTGTGGGCTTACACTCCTTCGCCTCGTCCTCCTCCTCCTCCTCCTCCTCCTCCTCCTCCTCCTCCTCCTCCTCCCCCTCCTCCTCCCCTCCCCTTCCTCCTCCTCCTCCTCCTCCTCCTCCTCCTCCTCCTCCTCCTCCGCCTCCTCCTCCTCTAGATTCGGCGGCGAGCCAGGGGGGACAATGAGAAGGACAATTCCTTCTCAGAAAGCGGGGGGCCTTCTCAGAAGCCCCCCGGTCTTCTGAGAGGACTTCTGTGTCTTCGGTGAAGGCTTAGAAAACCTCCCAGAAGGCCGGGGGACGTCCGAGTCTTCTGAGAAGGCCAGCCCCCTCTCACGTCTCCCCTGGGCTCACCGCTGAGCTTGTGCAGCTCCTGGTGGAGATCCGGAGGAGGAAGAGGGAAAATGGAGGAGGAGGAGGAGGAGGAGGAAGGAGGGGGAGGGAAGATGGAGGAGGAAGATGGCGAAGGAGGAGAAGGGAGGAGGAGGAGGAGGAGGAGGAGGAGGAGGAGGAAGGAGGAGGAGGAGGAGGAGAGGGGTGCTTCTTGGCATAGGCCTCCACTGTAGCCAGAGCCAGGGCCTGGCACACCACCAGTCGGCGGCGGGCCTGGCGTGTTCGGTGCTCGCCGCCGCGGCCAGAGGCGGAGGGCCCCGTGAGCAGGAGGGGCACCCCGCGCGGCAGAAGAGCGAGGCAGTCGCCCGCGGGAGGGTGTGCTTCTCCTGGCAGTCCTGGTCCTCCTGCTCCTCCTTCGTCGCCGTCCTCCTCCTCCTCCTCCTCCTCCTCCTCCTCCTCCCCTCCTCCTCCTCCTGTTCCTCCTCCTCCTCCTTCTCCTCCTCCTCCTCCTCCTCCTCCTCCTCTCCTTTTCCTTATATATTTATACAGACTTATATGTATTTATATATATATATATATATATATATACACACCACGAGGCCGGTTTTTAGCGCGGGCCGGGCGTTTCGCTTGAGATGTTCTAACCACTCATGATCCTGAAGTTTAGAAAGTGACGACAACTTCACGGATGGAGAGCGGGTCGTTTTCAAAATTTGCTCCCGTTTTAGCGCCGCGCACGGTCGATTTAAAACTTTGCAAGAATATCACGGATTGAAGGCGGTCCCTTTTCGAAATGTGGCTCTCGCCTCAGCGCCGCGCACATTCGTTGTAAACAGTTGCAAGAGCTTCACGAATTGAGGGCAGGTGGATTTCAAAATGTGGCTCTCGCCCTAGCGCCGCGCACATTCGTTCTAAAAGTTTGGAAGGGTTTTGCGGATTGAAGGCGGTTCCTTTTCACATGTGGTTTTCGCTTTAGCGCCGCGCACATTGGTTTTAAGAATTTGCAGCAGTTTCACGGATGGATGGAGGCTCCTTTTCAAACTGTGGTTTTCGCCTGAGCGCCGCGCACATGCGTTTAATTCATTTGCAACTGTTTCACGTATTGAGAGCGAGTGGTTTTCAGAATGCGACTCTCGCGTTAGCGCCGCGCACATTAGCCTTAACAACATTGAAAGATTTCACGGGCTGAGGGCGGGTCGTTTTCAAAATGTGGCTCTCGCGTTAGCGCCACGCACATTCGTTTTACACATTTGCAAGAGCTTCACGGATTATGCGGGTGCAGCAGTTGTGTTGGTTCGCGTTGTTGAGGTTCAAGGATTTGGATTGTGGCACGATTCCGGATTGAAAGACGCAGCAATCAATTTGATCCGTGGCGTTGAAATCCCGAGATCAATGTCTTGGCATGCTTCAGGATATTCAAATGGGTTGTCTTTCAACGGGGCAGTTCCCTCAATGGAATTGACCCGTTGCGGCGGCCAATGAAGAGGGAGCGTTAATTCCAGCATAGTTGATGACTCTTGGGCTTACCCTGGTCCTCCTCATCCTCCTCTGCCGCCTTCTCCTCCTTTTCTTCCTCCTCCTCCTCCTCCTCCTCGTCCTCCTCCTCCTCCTACTCCTCCCCTCCTCTTCCTTTCCTCCTCCTCCTCCTCCACCTCCTCCTCCTCCAACTCCTCAGCCTCCTCCTCCTTTCCTCCTCCCCCTCTTCCTCCTCCGCCGCCTTCTCCTCCTCCTCCTCCTCCCACTCCTCCTCCCCCTCCTCCTCCTCCTGCCTATCCTCCTCCTCCTCCTCCTCCCCCTCCTCCTCCCCCTCCTCCCTCCTCCTCCTCCTCCCCTTCTCCTCCCCCTCCTCCTCCTCCTCCTCCCTCCTCCTCCTCCTCCTCTCTCCTCCTCCTCCTCCTCCTCCTCCTCCTCCTCCTCCCTCCTCCTCATTCTCCTCCTCCACAATTACTCAATGTGAATACTTCTCTCCTCTCTCCTCTGAGTCAGTGGCGGAATATGTCTCGGAGTGTTCGCCCCCACTCCCTCGCGTATGGTTTTTTCCACACAGGATGTCGGCGAGTTTGGTTGTCGCTTGAAGTGTTTTTGAAATGCTGCTCTCGCTGAGGCGTTGGCCTCATGCTCGGGCGGCGCTCGTTCCGAACAGAGAGGGGATCTACGCCATGGTAAGGGATGGGAGGGAGGGGTAGGACGTCAGATATGACGCGAGCGCGCCTAGCTTGTCCCCCTCCCTCCCTCCTCCTCCTCCTCCTCATCCTCCTCCTCCTTCCTTCTCCTCTTTCCTTCTCCTCCTCCTCCTCCTCTTCCTTCCTTCTCCTCCTCCTCCTCTTGTTCGTTCTCCTCCTCCTCCTTCTCCTCCTCCTCCTCCTCCTCTTCCTCCTCCTCCTCCTCCCCCATCCTCCTCCTCCTCCTCCAGTTCTTTTCCTCATCAATAATTTCTCTCTGTCGAGCCCCGAGGTCAGTTTTTGTTTGGGCGGGCTGGGCGGTTCGCCTGAGACCCAATGTGGCTCTCGCGTTAGCGCCGCGCACATTCGCCTTGAACATTTGGAACTGTTTCGCGGATTGAAGGCGGGTCGTTTTCAACAGGTGGCTCTCGCCTTAGCACCGCGCGAATTCGATATCAACATGTGCCAGAGCTTCACGTATTGAAGGTGGGTCGGTTTCAAAATGTGGCTTAGCGCCGCGCACATTCGTTGAAAACATTAACAATTTCACGGGTTGAAGGCAGGTCGTTTTCAACATGTGGCTCTTGCGATAGCGCCGCGGACAATCGTTTTAGGCATTTGCAGCAGTTTCACGTATTGAGAGCGAGTGGTTTTCAGAATGAGGCTCTCGCGTTAGCGCCGCGTACATTCGTTTTAAAAATTTGCCAGAGCTTCACGGATTGAGGGCGGCTCCTTTTCAAAATGTGGCTCTCGCCTCAGTGCCGCGCACACTCTTTTCAAACATCTGTAAACGTTTCACATATTCCCATGGTCAACGTACCAGGAATGGCGTTTTGGAAAAGTTCACGGTTACGCGGGTGCAACAATTATGCTGGTTCTGGGTGTTGAAGTATCAATAATGGCCTTCTGGCACGATTCCGGATTGAAAAACGCAACAATCAGGTTGGTCCGTGGCCTTGAAATCCCGAGATCAATGTCTTGGCATGCTTCAGGATCTTCAAACGGTTGTCTTTCAACGAGGCAGTTCCCTCAATGGAATTGACCCGTTGCGGCAGCCAATGAAGAGGAAGCGTTAATTCCAACATCGTTGATGTCTCTTGGGTTTACCCTGGTCATCCTCCTCCTCCTCCGGCGCCTTCTCCTCCTCCTGTTCCTCCTCCTTTTCCTCCTCCTCCTCCTCCTCCTCCTCCTCCCCCTCCTCCTCCCCCTCCTCCTCCTCCTCCGCCTCCTCATCCTCCTCCTCCTCCTTTCCTCCTCCTCCTCCTCCTCCTCCAACTCCTCATCCTCCTCCGTTCCTCTCCCCCCCTCCTCCTCCTCCCTCACCTCCTCCTCCCTCCCCTCCTCCTCCTCCTCCTCCTTCTCCTCCACCCTCCTCCTCCTCATCCTCCTCCTCCTCTTCCTCCCCTACTCCTCCTCATCCTCCTCTACCTCCTCCTCCTCCTCCTCCTTTCCTTATCCTTATCTTCCTCCTCCTTCTCCAGGATCTTGAACCGGTTGTCTCCCACAGGGGCAGTTCCCCCCATGGAGATGAACCGTTGTAGGGGCCTATGAAGAAGGAGCTTGGAGGGAGGGTGAATTCCAACATCGTTGATGACTCTTGGGTTTACACTGGTCCTCCTCCTCCTCCTCCTCCTCCTCCTCCTCCTCCTCATCCTCCTCTTGGGTCACCGCGGGGCTGCTAAGGGGATAAGGAACAGGGGTGTTCTAAGTGGATGCTTAGCTAGATTGTGTATGGCCTAGCCTAGCAGACGCGCGGGCTGCAAGTGCCCTGAGTGGTTTAGCTCCGCTAAGTAGGTAAGTAGGTGGAGCCCACTTAGCGCCGACCTTTCCCCACCTAAGAGGGCATGTGTAATACACTTGCAACGCAGGTTTGGCAGGGTCCACATGCGCCCGCACGGCCCATTCCGGCACACCCCTCGCGCGTTTCGTGGCCTCAGAGGGAGCTCCGCCGAAAGCCTCAGGGAGGAGTCCACATGCGTCCGCCCGACCCATGTTGCCACACCCCTCACACGTCTCGTGGTCCCATAATCAGGGGGCTTCACCGAAGGCCCCAGAGGCAGGGTCCACATGCGTCCGCTCGGCGCAATTCAGCACACCCTTCACACGTTTCGTGGCCCCACAGGGGGCTCCACCGAGAGCCCCAGTGGCAGGGTCCACATGCGTCCGCACGGCCGATTTCGGCACACCCCTCACACATTTCTTGGCCCCATGGGGAATTCCACCGAAGGCCCAAATGGCAAGGTCCACGTGCGTCCGCCCGACCCATGCCGGAACACCCCTCACACGCTTCGTGGCCCCATAGGGAGCTCTGCCGAAAGCCCGTAGGAAAATCCACTTGCCGTCCGCCTGACCAATTTCCGTACACCCCTCACACGTTTCGTGGCCTCATAGGGAGCTCTACCGACGACGTCTCTCACAACTGCGTCACCCACATATGCATATGGATGGGTCCTTCGGCAAGATGATTTTCAACGCGGGTTCCCAGAGCTCTTTTTGACCTAGGGGCAAGTTTATCGTCCCAGGTCGTTTTTGACGGTCCTGGGGCATGGCGAGTGCCGAAATATGAAGAAGGCCAGGAGAACAATCCGCGCTGACATCTTTCGCCGATGCAGTGAAGGTGTCCGATCTTGAAACGCGATCCTTGATACGCTGGTGGTCTGGGAGTCTCGCGAGGCCCTCCTCCTACCCCCCCCTTCCTCCCCCTCCTGCTCCTCCTCCTTTCCTCCTTTCCTCCTCCTCCTCCTCCAACTCATTCTCCTCATCCTCCTCCTCCTGCCCCTCCTCCTCCTCCTCCGCCGCCTCCTCCTCCTCCTCCTCCCCCGCCTCCTCCTCCTCCTCCTCTTCCTTCTCCTGTTCCTCCTCCTCCTCCTCTTCCTCCTGCTCCCCCTCTTCCTCCCCCTCCCCCTCCCCCTCCCCCTCCTCCTGCGCTCGTACCGAGGCGAACAAGTTCCTCATCCTGACAGACGACTGGCAGCACCCCCTCCCTCCTCCTCCTCCTCCTCCTCCTCCTCCTCCCCTCCTCCTCCTCCTCCTCCTCCTCCCTCCTCCTCCTCCTCCTCCTCCTCCCCCCCCCCTTCCTCCTCCTCCTCTTCCTTCTCCTCCTCCTCCTCCTCCTTCTCCTTCCCTTGATCGGCGACGTAGGCCGAGAGGCCTTGGAGCCAACGGCGGCAGAGGCGGCGCGCACTCATCCTCTGCGCCCAGACGACGCAGACCTCCAAACGGGAGGCCCAAAGGCTGAGACACCAACACCAGTCGGCGGTTGCCTCCACCGAGAGAAGACGCAAAAGGCCGCGCTGACGGCGTGCTTTGTTAACGGTGCGGTTTTGAATATTGTTTTTGTGACACCGAGCACATGCAAAACAGAATGCAGGACATCACGAAACACCATTTCCTACATTTCAGATATGCGAATGTATCGAACAACAACGACAAAGCTTGTTGCAGGAAAACACAAATCACGCGTCCTTACGACTGGTTTTGCCACGAAGCACGCCTTCCTACAATTGGTGTCCTACCCCGCCGTGAGCTAACACACCGTTAGCGCGTCTACGGGAACAATCCCAATCTCGGTGTCGGTGGCAACACTCCGGCTTCCTGTGTGACCCAGGTGGCCGAAGCATTAACCCCAGCACCAAAACCTAGGACCATCGCTCCCCTGGTGGAGACACAGCGGTTATTGGTGCCAGTCCCGGAGCCTCTAACCAACGTCCTGACATTGCAAAACGGTTTCTTGTCGTATCCTTCGGCTTCTGGGGGCCCTCGCAGGGCCCCGGGGCCGTCAAGAGACGACTCGGGACGAAAAGCTGGCCCTGGGGAGAGGGTCAGTTTTTTTTTGTTCTGGGGGTCCGTGCTGAAGCATCGGATGTCTGGGCAAGACGTTGAAAACAGAAGAGTTGCGTTCAGCCATCGCAGACCCAAAACAGAGAGTTGTTGCCACGTGGATGTGGAAGCTATGCGATGCACGCCACGTCGTGGAAGTTATGTGGTGCAAGCTGCGGAGGTGAAAGCTACGAGATGTAACTCACGTCGTGCACGCTGGACATGTGGTGTGAGATTGGTACGGTAACTATACAGTGCAAGCGGCTACGAGGGCTATACGGTATACTACACGCAGTGCAAGCTACGTCGTACAAGTTATGCGGTGTAGGCTATGTCGTGTAATCCAGGTGGTGCAAGCCATGTGGTGTAAGCTTAGCGCACGGGGCGCGCACGAGCGCCCACGAGGCGTCATGGGCCCAAACTGGGCAGATCCTATGGCAAACCCACCCACCCAACGCACGGGACGCCCAAGTGGCCACGAACGGGCATGGGCGCCAACGCGGCGAATCCTCGGGAAACCCATCCAATCACGTCAGAAATTACCAGCCTCGAACTTATCCCTATCCCTAAGATTGACACGCCAAAAAGCGATGACAATCTTAGGGATGCGCCCTCAAAAAATAAGGGAATCTCTAAGATTGGCATCGTGATGAGGAGATGCCCAGCATAGGGATAGGGATATGTTCCAGGCTGGTAAAGGAAGCCAAGTAAGAACTCCCAAAGTGCAAACGCTGCTCGGGGAAAGACTCTCGCCCAGGCAGCAGCGCCGCCTCGTGGTAGACGACGTAGTCCGGGGTGTACCCCAGGCCGTACAGCGCGCTCGTCGGGTGCAGCTGGGCCGGGATGCGCGTCCTCGCCGCCGGAGCTTGGGAGTTTCGAGGCTCTCCGGCGTTAGGCCGTCGGGAAGGCGGTCGGGAACTCTTGCTCAGCGTGTCGCGGCGGCGGCCGCGGCGACACGCCGTGCCCTGCGCTCGGACAGCGCGTCGCTCCAGGTCGCGGGGCGAGAGACTGGGAAAGGCTTGTTTGGAGTCCCGAAACGGTGCGGTGACAGACCGCGCGGTGACCTCGGAGCCCCAAGAGACCTCACCGCGCGGTCCGTCACCGCACGGTCTTGGGACCCAGGAGGCCCCTGTCGCCCAAGGCGTCCTCGAAGAACGACCCGAGCCCCAGAACCGCGCGGTGACCCCGAATCCCCACCGACTCACCGAACGGTGTGCTCACCACCCCGTTTGGGGACCCCCGAGCTTGGAACGTTGACGCTTGGGAGCCGGGGCGCGGTCTGCGTGTCGCGCCGAGGCACGGTGGGCCAGAAGCGTCGGCGCGACACGCTGGGCCAAAGTTCCCGACCACATGTCCCGAGCGGCCGGAGGCGGCTCCGGAGGTGCAAGGTGCGGCCCGAAAGCCAGGCTCGCGTCTGTCTGTGACGGCGGCGACAAGTACAACAAGAAGCGGGGGGGTCCTTCTCCTCCTCCTCCTCCTCCTCCTCCTCCTCCTCCTCCACAAACTCCCCTTTTTGCTCCTGCTCCTGCTCCTACTTCTCCTCCTCCCCCGTCCCCCCTCCCTGCGGGGTGATGGGGGGATTGGACTGGCTGGTGCAAGAGAAAACAAAAACTACGCAGACTCGGCGGCGAGGCAGAAGCAATCCGCACCAGCATGGAACTAATCGGGGCAACCGATCGGCAAATTGTCTGGCGTCGCGATCTTTGCGCTGCGTGAGCACGAGCTGCGTAACAGGCAGCCCCAGTGCGAGAATGAGCTGCGCGACAGGTAGCCCAAGTACAAAAATGAGCTGCGCAACAGGCAGCCCATGGACGAGTACCACCACCATTACGGCCCCAAGTACGCCACCAAGACCGACACGACGGGCAGCCCGAAGCGGTTACGAAGTACGTCGTCGCGGAGGTACTGGTGGACAACGGCCGCGCCGCTTGCGACGAGTGCGCCTACGGCCGCAGCGCCTACTACGAGTACGACTACGGCAGCTTCTTCGATACCGCAACGTGGAACACTAGGACTTGGCAGCCGACGACACCGATTCGGACCTCCGGGGCTACGAAGAGCCGTGCCTTCTGCGCTATAGCCAGCGGCAGATCTACCAGGGCCACCAGACGACCTTCGGGGACCACAAGCTGAACTACGAGGAGCACAGGCACAACTAGGAGAGCCCCCAGAAGTGCTTCAAGACCCACCTGACGAGCTACGAGAACCACCAACAGAGCCACAGGAGCCACAAACTGAGCTACTACGAGGACCGCGAGCTGACCCACGTGAGCCAGAAGCAGTGGTGCTGCGAGGCCCACCAGCTGAGCCACGAGGGCCACCAGCGCAGACACGAGGGACACCAGCAGAGCTGCGTGGCCTACTAAATGAGCTACCGGAGCCACCAGCACAGCTACGAGAGCCACGAGCAGAGCTTCCAGAGCCATCGGCAGAGCCACGAGGTCCACCCGGAAAGCTACCAGGGCCACAGCCTAAGCTTCGAGGGCAACAAGCTAATAGCTACTACAGCCACCAGGCAGGGCTACCAGGGCCACCAGCGGCCTTTCGAGGACCACAAGCTTAGCTACGAGGACCACAGGCACAGCTACGAGAGCCACCAGACGAGCCTCAAGACCCACCTGCCGAGCTACCAGAGCCACCAGCAGAGCCACGAGAGCCACTAGCTGAGCCACGCGGTCCGCAAGCTGAGCTACGAAGGCCACAAGCAGGACGTCGAGGGCCACCAGCTGAACCACGAGGGCCATCTGCTGGGCCACGAGGGCCACCAGCCGAGCTACGAGGGACCACCAGCTGAGCTACCGGAGGCACCAGCTGGGCTACGAGGACAACAAACGGAGCTACTACGGCCACCTGCAGAGCCTGCGGCGCGTCACAACGCTCCTCGTCGTCGACGACCTGTACGTCCTCCGAGTCCTGGCCGCGCGACGGCTTCGAACCACAGGAATTGGCCGAGTCCTGTGGCTGCCCTGCCTTCTGGACGTCCTCCGCGTCGTGCGGAGGACCGTCTAGGCCCACGGGCTCAGCCACGAGGACCACAGGCACAGCTACTATAGCCAGCAGAAGAGCTACCAGGGCGGCCCCCAGCAGACCTGGAGGAACCACTAGCGGAGCTACAAGGCCCAGAGGCAGAGTCGAGAGAGCCGCCTGCACGGCCACAAGGACCGAGAGCTGAGCGACGAGAACCACAGGCACTGGGGACACCAAAAGGTACCGATACCGCTACTCCCTGGACCTCTCCCAGGGTGCGTTCTGGCCAGGATTTCGAGGCGAATCCAGCGGTGGCGACGAGGGCATCCCAGGAGGCCCAAAAAGGGAAAAACGAGGGAAGGGTATCGGTATAGGGGTATGGATAATTACCTCTGCCTCCTCTGAGGCACAGCCATGGGAGCTACGAGGGCCAGCTGCCGAGCTGCGAGGGCCACGAGACCAGAGCTGCGCGGAGTAGACTGGGAGAACTCGCAGAGAGCCTCCTGCAGAGCTGTGGTTGGGCGACGAGCAGGCTCAGAATCGCACCTCCGAGAGCCACCAGCTTAGCTTTAGGTCGGGCATGTCCTCCTACAGGGGGATCTTGGACGAAAAATTAAAAATGGTCAAAGAATACTCCCAAATAGCTTAAAATAGTCAAAAACAACTCCCCCGACTATTGTTTGACTATTTGTGAATATTCCTCCTGTAGAGGAGGGACACGCCCGACTGAAGCTCAGCTGCAAGGGCCACCTGCAGAGCCAGGAGGGCCACAACGTTTGAGCCACGCGGGCCACAGTGAAGGGGAACTGGGACACACACACACACACACACACACACACACACACACACACACATAAATAGACACACATAAAAATATCCCCCATATTTTCACCTATTTTCTGGGGGGGGGGTCTTCCCCCCCACTTCCCATATTTTCCTATATATTTTCTGGGAATCGCCGATTCATTGTGTCTGTGTGTTTTTTCCCCTCCTGACACAGGCCAGACTTGGGCGCCCGAGTTATCCGGGGTAACTCGGGTCCGGGGTAACTCGGGTTTGGATTCCCGAAAAAGGAACCCGAGTTATCCCTGACCCGAGTTACCCCGGATAACTCGGGGCTCTGATTTCCCCTCCTGACACAGGCCAGACTGCGAGAACCTCCCGCAGACCCGCCACGGGCGACGCGCCGGCCCGCACGGGCATGAGGAGAGGGCCACCGGCCGGGCCCTGCCAGGGCCGCCGGCAGCAGTGGCCGGGCGGAACGGACACGCCGAGGCGCCCGCGCAGGACGACCCAGACATCGGGCGTCGGGCGTCTCGAAAAAATCGGAACGAAGGTTTTTCGTCGCTTTCGGCCTCTGGAGGCGCTCGCCGGGCCGCGGGCCCGTCCAAAAACGACCCGGGACGAAGAGCCGGTCCCGGGGAAGTGGTCGGGAGGTCGGGAGCCCGCGTCTCAAATCGAGACGTCGGATGTCTGGGGACGAGGGCTGCCAGCCCGAGTGAGCGGGCTTGAATCGGCGGCGAGGGCCTGCTCAAAGGCTCGGCAGTCTCCCGGCCTTGTGACAAGTTTTTTACCGCCTTTTCCTACGTCTTCTCCGAGGGCGCGAGGGCTTCTGGGAAGTACCCCCCCGCCTTCTGAAAAGGGCCTTCTCCGTCTCACTTCCAGCCCCCCTCGCCCTCCGCCGACTACAGGCCAGAGGAGCCACAGCGGCCTCGAGATGATTCTGGGCGCGTGGGATCTCACCACGGAGAGCGCTGGGCCTCCACACCGGGATCGGTGGCCATCAGCATTAACGGTGCGAACATCGAGCCCATCGACAACCCCAAGAAGCGGCTCGCCGTCATGTGCCAAGAGAAGGCTCGAGCCTACCGGAACCACGGCCCGATGGAAAATGACTACGTGCTCGAGCGCTTATACGACCTCGCAGTCTCCGAAGGCCAGGCAGGGGTGGCCAAATTCTTCCTCGACGTGCCCCACGACGAAAGCTTGCTCGACGTAGTATGCGGTCGGATGGCGCAATAGTCACGGTGAGACCAGCCTACCAGAAGCCGCTGATGATGGCCCCCCAGCATGCAATCCCTCTTCATGCCGAAAGTACTTGCCCTACAGCGCTACGGACACATGTATTACGTGCACGTACCACGTCTACAGCGCTACAGACAAGGCACCTCGTGTACAATGTTGCCGCCAATGTGCTACGCCTACAGCGCGTACATCTGCTACGGCTGAGGGGTTCAGCCGCTCTCGAAGACCGTCTGACCCGGGTCAATCCAGACCCAGGTCAGCCAGGCCTTGCAGAATCCTGCAAGATCCCGCACCCAAACCAGGGTCAATGCGAAGGATCCTGCAGGACCCTGCACCCAAACCCGGGTAAATGCGACCCTGGCCCTGCAGGACCCTGCAAGACCGGGCGCTCTGGCCTACCCCCGTTTGCACTGACCCCCGTCTCCAGGCTACCGACGCTATACCTCCGCCCCCCCCCCTCGGTCGCCTCAAGATGAGAGGTGCGCGGGTGGCCCTCCACTCCCTCCCCCCCCCCCCCCTCCGAGACGGGCCCGCCGCCGCGCATACCCGTCGCGCCCCGGGGGCGCGCGGCGGGCGCGATGGGGGCGCTCTGGGTCACGCCCGATTGGCGCTGCGAGAGAGGAGGACGAGGCGGTCTTTCATTAGGTCGGGCACGTCCTCCTACAGGCGGATTCTGGCAGGAAAATGAAAAAACGAGTCCAAACATGCTTAGATGTTCGAACATAGAGCAGCATCGCCCCACAGTATGTTTGGACTGTTTGGGGATATCCTTCCTGCACAGAGACGAGGACCGGGGATTCGCCCCAGGCAGTCTCCGAGGCCCCCCGGGGGCCCGCAGGTAATGCGCCTGCAGAGGCCCAAGCCTCCAGAGGCCCCCCAAGGGGGCCCTCAAGAGGCCCTCAAGAGGCCCCCAGGAAGCCCCTCAGAGGCTACCCCACGAGGCCTCCGCTTCCTCCTCAGCTCGATTCGTGGCGGCTTCAGAATCTTCAAACGGTTGTCTCCCAGCGGGGCACATCCCTCAGTGGAAATGAATCCTTGCAGGAGCCTGCGAAGACAGAGCTTGGAGGGACGGTTTCCCCCAACATCGTTGATGAGTCTTGGGTTTGCACTGGTCCTCGTCCTCCTCCTCCTCCTCCTCCTCCTCCTCTCCTCCTCCTCCTCCTCCTCCTCCTCCTCCTCCTCCTCCTCCTCCTCCTCCCCCCCTCCTCCTCCCCCTCCTCCTCCTCCTCTCCTCCTCCTCCTCCTCCTCCTCCTCCTCCTCCTCCTCCTCCTCCTCCTCCTCCTCCTCCTCCTCCTCCTCCTCCTCCCTCTCGTCCTTCTCTCTCTGTCTCTCCGCCCACCGCCCACCGCCGCGACCGCGCCGCGGGCGCGGACGGGCGGGCGGGGCAGGCCGCAGGTTGACGTACTCGCCGATGCCGCGGAGCTTCCCCGCGTTGTGGAAGTAGCCCGCGCAGATCGCCTCCGGCGGCAGCCGCAGGGGGAGGAGGCCCCCAACCCCCGACGACATGACTTCATCATGACGTCGACCCCAGAGGTCTGGACCCCTTCCCCAAGACTGGTTCTTCATCCTGGGTCGTTTTTGTTACGGTCCCGAGGAGGATCTCAAAATTGTTTCATGACTCGAGAGGTGGGGGGGGGGGGGGGCGACGGCCTCAGTGGGGAAAGCGCCGCGCCGGAAGCGGCGATGGGTGGCCGAAGCGTCGGCGATCTGCCCCCGACCGCGGGCCGCCGGGCCCCCAGCGGCGACGAGTGCCAGCGCAGCACGGAGTGGAGGTCCGCGGACCTGGCGCGCGGGCGCCAGGCCCACGGATCGGGGGAAGACGGCTACGCCCGACCGATGAGGCCAATGCCGCCTAGGAGGAGGAGGAGGAGGAGGAGGAGGAGGAGGAGGAGAGGAGGAGGAGGAGAGGAGGAGCAGGAGGAGGAGGACGAGGAGGAGGATGAGGAGGAGGAGGGGGAGGAGAGGAGGAGGAGGAGGAGGGGAGGAGGAGGAGGAGGAGGAGGAGAGGGGAGGAGGAGGAGGAGGAAGAAGCGGGAGGAGGAGGAGGAGGAGGAGGAGGAGGAGGAGAATTACGATGAAGGAGGCGGAGGATGAGGAGGAGGAGGAGGAGGATGATGGCGACGAGCCGCGCTGATGACGTGAGGACACGGGGCCCGTCGCTAATCCACGCGCACTGCTCCACGTCTGCGATTCCTCGACGGTGGGCGATTGGGGGTCGATGCGCCCCCCCCCCGGACCCCCGCCGCCTTGATTTCTGCATGACGTCGACACCCAGAGGTTTCGACCCATCCTCCCTGACCCGTTTCTCATCCTGAGCCGCTTCTTGACAGCCCTGAGGCCCGGTCATGGCCCCCTGAGGCCCAAAACTTGCAAAAGCCCCCTCGTCCTCGTCCTCCTCCTCCTCCTCCTCCTCCTCCTCCTCTCCTGCTCCTCGTCCTCCACCTCCTCCTCCTCCTCCTCCTCCTCCTCCTCCCCTCTTCTTTCCATTTACCCTGGCTGCAAGAGCCCCCGAAACAGCATACAGGACACTACGGCACTGCGCTGTGTGAACCATCCCGATCGACGCGTGCATCGAACGTAAGTAACTGGTGCAACTAACGCGAGCGGGATTGCAAACCTCTTTCTCTGTGCAAGGCTTCTCTTCTTATCTACATTATGTAGTTGTTTTGCTAGCTGCGCCGTGAGTGCATCAGTTGGTTCGGCATGGCTTTCTTGCGTGACCGACATAGCTTACGGGCTGCCCAGGCGTCGCGGCAGCATATGGGTGCAGCCTGCAGGCCAGCGCACTCTCCCCCCCCCGATTTAGGACGCCATGACGTAAGTCTTCTGAATGCGCCTCTTGCTCCTCTCCTCCTCCTCCTCCTCCTCCTCCTCCTCCTCCTCCTCCTCCGCCTCCTCCGCCTCCTCCTCCTCCTCCTCCTCATCCCGCCTCCTCCTCCTCCTCCTCCGCCTCCTCCTCCTCTTGCTCCTCTCCTCCTCCTCCTCCTCCTCCTCCTCCTCCTCCTCCTCCCCTCCTGCTCCTCGTCCTCCTCCTCCTCCTCCTACTCCTCCTCCTCCTCCTCCCCTCCTCCTCCCTCCTCCTCCCCCCCTCCTCCCCCCCTCCCCCCCCCCCCTGGCTCCCCCGGGGCGCGGTATGCCACTCCCCGCGGGCGCGCCTTCCGGATGACGTCCTCGGCACGGCCACCCCCCGAGGGAGGAGGAGGATGAGGAGGAGAGGAGGAGGAGGAGGAGGAGAGGAGGAGGAGAAGGAGGAGGAGGAGCAGGAGGAGCAGGAGGAGGAGGAGGAGGAGGAGGAGGAGGAGGAGGAGGAGGAGGAGGAGGAGGAGGAGGAGGAGGAGGAGGAGGAGGAGGAGGAGGAGGAAGATGAGGGGGGCGGGCCGCTCGAGAGGGGGGCAATGGGGCAGCGCCGCTGCCGATGGACGCCTCCTGAATGGGGTCCAAGTAGATGGGGTCGGAGAACTGCATCGGCGAGGCATCGGCGAGGCATCGGCGACGTCGGTGTGGAGAAGAGCGGGCTCTACTCTACTCCAAGCCGCATCGCCGATGCATCGGCGATGCGGCGCGATCCTCCGACCCCGTCCACTCGGAGCCCCAGCTGTGAGGCCTAGAGCTGAGGAGGGGCGAGAGGGGAGTGGCGACTCCGGAGAGAGATATCAGGGAGCGGCAGAGGTGCGCACGGAGCAAGGGGCAGACCGGCGCGGCGAGCAGACGCAGCCGCGGAGCGTGAAAGCAGCAGCAACAGACGACGACGACGACGACGACGACGACGACGACGACGACGACGACGACGACGACGACGACGACGACGGCGACGGCGACGGCGACGGCGACGGCGACGGCGACGGCGACGGCGACGGCGACGGCGACGGCGGCGGCGGCGGCGACGGCGGCGGCGGCGGCGACGACGGCACCCACGGCGACGACGGCACCGACGGCGACGACGACACCGAAGGCGACGAGGACGACGACGACGAAGACGGCGGCGACGACGGCGACACAACGACAACGACGACCGCGGCGACGGCGACGACGATACCGACCGCGACGAAGACACCGACGACGACGACGACGACGACGACGACGACGACGACGAGGACAACGACGGCGACGGCGACGGCCACGGCGACGATGACCCCGTCGGCGACGAGGGCAACAGCGACGGCGTCCACACCCCGGTGCGGCGGTGGCGGTCCCAGTCGGTGCCGCAGGAGCTGGGCGTGATCTTCTGCTGCTGCAGGATCTCCTGGGCGCCCCGCCGCCGCGGCGGGCGGCGGCTGCTGGGGGGCGCAGAAGGAGAAGGAGGAGGAGGAGGAGGAGGCGGAGGAGGAGGGAGATAGGGGGAAGGGGGTGGAGGAGGAGAGGGGAGGGAGGAGGAGGAGGAGGAGGAGGAGGAGGAGGAGGAGGAGAGGAGATAGGAGGGGGAGGGAGGAGGGAGGGGAGGGAAGAGGAGGAGATAGGAGGGGGAGGGAGGAGGAGGAGGACGATGGAGGAGGACGAGGGAGGAGATACGGGGAAGGAGGATACAGTCACCGTGCGACCATGAGGAAACAAATGATAGGGAACGAAGGGCTGTTTGCTCGGGCCCCGGCGAGGCTCGGTCACGAGCGGGCTCCCCGACCTGGACCTGCGGGGCGGCCCGAACGCCAAAGCGGTCCTTGCCTCAACGCCTCGCCTGTGGAGTGGCACACCAAACATATGGGCGCAGCTGCTCGAGGTCCGTGCGGCGTTCTCGGGGTCGGCGCTGGAGCCCCCCCGGGGCGGTGCCTCCGGCGCCGCCCCTGGCGCCGCCCCTTGCGGCGCGTCAGGGGCGGTGGTGGCGGTGGTGGCAGAGTCGACTCCAGAATTCCTCGCCAGACCTCCGAAAGCTTAGACTTACGCAGTCTTTGTTGTTTTTTCTTACCCGCGGGTAAATGGAGGGAGGAGGGATGAGAAATGGGAGTTCCCAGAGGTACCACGGTGACGACAGCGGCAGCCGAAAAGGAGGAACGAGATTGGAGAGGGGGCAAGAGGCGGAGGCTAGAGGGCCCCCTTCTCCTCCACTCCCTCGTCGCTGCCCTGCCCTCTCCTCGTCCACCTCCTCTTCCTCCACCTCCTAGTCCTCCACATCCTCCTCTTCTTCTTCCTCTTCCTCCTCCTCCTCCTCCTCGTCGTTCCCGTCCTCCTCCTCGTCCTCCTCCTCCCTCCTCCTCCTCCTCCTCGTCCTCCTCCTCCTCGTCCTCCTCCTCCTCCTCCTCCTCTCCTTCTCCTCCTCCTCCTCCTTTTCCTCCACCTCCCCTTCTTTTCCTCCTCCTCCGTCTGTGCAGCACTTTGATTGGACACCGTCGCATTCTCCCAGCGCGCAGCGCCAGTCCAACCCCCAGGAGCGTTCGCTCCGACGCGCCCAGACACAACTAGCAACGAGCTCCTCCTCCTTCTCCTCCTCCTCTTCGTCTTCCTCCTCCACCCCGTCCTCATCCTCGGTTCGGCTCTGACGACACTGGGGTTCGGTAACGTACATCCTTCCCATCCCCCGCTCGACTCTGATGACATTGGGGTTCGGCAACGAATCACCCGTTCCTTCTCCTCCTCCTCCTCATCCTCCTCCTCTTCCTCCTCCTCCTTCTCATCTCCATCGCCTTTGCGCTCTTGTCTCCTTCTCCTCCTCCTTCTCCTTGTCCTCGTCCTTCCTCTTCTTCTTATCATTATTTCTCTTCTTCGTCGTGGTCCTCTTCTTCTTCTTCTTCTTCTTCTTCTTCTCCTGTTCCTCCTCCCTCGCGGGGCGGCTTCTGCGTCCTCCAGCTGACCCCGCACCTCACGAACCTTCTTCAGGGACTTCTGGTGGACGAAATGGTCGGTGCACCACTTGGCGCTAAAGCCGTTGGTGGTCCACTGTGGGGGGCGTTGCGAGCAAGAATGACTCTCTCGGCTTAGTGTAGGACTAGATGCCGTACCGCTACGAAGCCCTCGTCGCATCATATCCCTGCTGATGCGGGTGCTTCTGTGCTCAGGTCGCCGGCTCCGACGCGTTCATGCTCTGGTTGCTTGTTCGAACACATCTGTGCTAAGAGCGCGGGCTCGAGTGTGTCCGTGTTTATACGGATGGCTTGAGCTTTTCTGTGCCCAGGCTGACGATCCAGGCGTCCCTTTGCTCCAGAGCCCTCGCAAAGAGCATACGACAACTCAACCTACCCCTCCCCGATGTCACCTGAGCAAGCGTTCAGAGTCCGAGGGGAAGCAACTGCCACATGCTACGACTCTTCCTCGACTGGTACAACCAGCATTGACATGTTACGACCATGGCTCTCTGGTCGCTGAGGAAGCTGCCGATGTCATGTTCCGACCTTCTCCAGCATGCACACTGGGCACTGGTATACTTATGATCTTACCCATAAGCGCTTTCACAATAGCACTCTATGCTCGCACTTCTCTGTTACTCCAGGTGGGCACCCAGTCCTGCTGATACACGTTCAGCATCGTGAGATGGTCGCTCTCGGGTGTGAAGAACCTGGCGCGCATCCCAACCAAGTCTCTCACATTCCGCTCACCGCGCTGGCGGCAGATGCCGCAGAGAAGCACACGACGTATGGCGGCATCGAAGAATGCCACGACGGCCGCTGCGATGCACACCTGCGAGAGACAATCGACGAGAACGTGTGCGACCCGGGAAGCTGACCCCTGTCAGCCGAGCCCCCCATACCGCCCTGGACCCTGCCTGTCGGACACCCAGTCGCGCCGTGTGTGGCCCCCCTCGCCAGGCGCGGGCCGAACGGCGGGGTGTCCCCAACGCCGTGCCGTTGACGGCTCGCACATAGGGGGGGAGGGGGAGGGAGAGAGGCTTCTTAGGAGGCTGCTTCTAAGAAGCCTCCTCCCCTTCCGCCTGCTACCTCCTTCTGCGCGTGGCCGAGTGCGGCTGAATCCCCGGGGCCTGTGAAGCAGCACGAGGCACGAGGGCGGGGATGCGGAAGACAGAAAGAGCAGGGGTAGGAATGGAGAGGGGGGGGGGGATTTCGAGTGGGCGGCCGCTCCCGGGCCCATCCACTGCTATAGAGCACGCATGTACGAATTATCTTGTCTACATACCCATGCACATATAATCAAATATGTACACCTATATGCACGTGCCCGCATACACATTCAAACATACATCGGTACATGTATAGATGCAGCTATACAACTACACACAAGCCTGTATATATTAAACATAATACGCGCTCATGTTCAGAACAATAATGAATGCGCACAGGGACACAAACACGCGCAAAGAGACACAACTCGCAGGATCTCCGTTCAAAATGTTAGGCTTCCCCCCATTTCCCATCTGCTACATATTTGCTGGGGAATCTATGATTATTCGTGTATGTGTTTTCCCTCCTGGAAAAAACTGACCTCCTTACAAGCCTGGCCCTGGTGGGCACCATGACGCTGGTCTGGTGCGCGGGCCGCGGAGAAAGGCGGACCGACGGGGGAGGGGGGAGGGAGGAGGAGATGGAGGGGACGGAGGCCGAACAACGTAAGGACGACCGGGGCGATGTGATAGGGGGGGGAGGGGAAAGGGGGGGATGTGATAGAGGGGGGAGGGGAAAAGGAAGGGGATGCGATCAACGAGGGGTGAGGCCAAAAGGGAAGAGGGGTCCGAGGCAGCGGCGCCTCGAATCCTGGGGGCCGGCCAGGAAAGGCGGAAGAGGGAGGGACTGACAAGATACGCATCTGCTAGCCGGCGTGGGCCCCAAGCAGTGTGTCTCTGACAGTGTTAGTTGTGCAGCCGACGTGGTGCGATCCATGTGGTGCAACCTCTGTGGCGCAATCGACGTGGTGCAATGAAATTGTACAAGCGACTTGACACAGTCCATGCTCTTGCAAACATCCCACCCACCCACCCACCCAGCCGCACTTTGGTTTGCACAACCCATGGGGCGGCGATTGCGATGAATGTTTGGTGTTGCCTTGTGCATTTTTGCGTCCGCGCTAGCCCGCGCATGCTCGCCCGCGCAGCGACCAGCCAGTTCAGCGCGACCGACGCGGAAGGCGGTGGCGCTGACCGCTGGGCGCTTCAGCGCGAGTCGCGATTTGGGCGGGCGTGGTATCATGGCAACGTCGACAAAGGTAGACACGAGGATGATCGCAGCGATGCTGGTGACGATGATGACAACGACGACTGCAAGACCAGTGACGGCGCCGATGCTGATCACGCCGACGACGATGACGGCGTATGAGATGCAATCTGTACGGTGCAATTCACCAAAACCCGCAGTGAATAGTCAACTCCACTGCTCGCGCAATCATCCCACCCACCCGCCCGCAACTTGGTTTGCAAAACCTATGCGACGGCGATTGCGATGCGTGCTTGGCGTTGGCTGGAGCATTTCGGCGGCCGCGCTAGCCCGCGCATGCTCGTGCGCGCAACGCCCAGCTAGTGCGGCGCGACCGACGCGGCCGCGGTGGCACTGACTGCTGGGCACTTCCCGACGGGCACTTCAGTGCGAGTCGGTGGCTCTAGTGGGTGCGGTATCATGGCGACGCCAACAACGGTAGACGCGATAATGGGAGTAGCGATCATGGTGGCGATGGTGGCGATGACCGCGGCAAGGCCAATGACGGCTCCGATGTTATCACGCCCGCCGGTCACGATGAAGATGTCCTCGCGTCGGTGATGCAGGTTTTGGAAGGAGCTCAACGTTCGCGAATTATGTGAAGCGGATGGTGCCCCGCACGCTGGCGCGCAAGGACGTTCGGATGAGTTCGACATGCGGCGCGAGAGGCCCGTTTTGCAGAATGTGATGGACACAAGAAACCGATGGTGTTGGTTAAGACTTCGCAAAATCGCGCAGGCTTATTCACAACCTGATGTTGCAACACCATGCGCTTCCCTACGAAATCTGGAGATTTGGATAGATGTTGGCATGCGCGCGCGACGACGCGCGGATGTGCACGCGTTCCCATTGTTTGCAAAGGGTTATTGCGACAACACGCGCGCAAGGACGTTCGAACGATTTCGACACGCGCGCGCGCGAGGAGGCCCATTTGGTATTTTTTGATGAACACGTTGAACAACCACATGGTTTCCTTGAAGATCCGCAAGAGCGCCAACGTAAGTTTGTTGTTGGCAGTCCGTGTTGCAATACCATTTGTTTCGTATATGTCTTCGTGGCACTCAATGTTAAGATCCCTACATACAACCTCCAGAGTTCTTGGAATATGTCGTCAAGCGCACGAGGAAGCATGCGTGCGCACGTTGTCCCATGTTTTGCAAGGGATTATTGAAAACTGCCGATTTGTGATACAACATGTGCGCAATATATTGCCGAGGATGACAGGGGGGTGTCGATACCGGCCTGGCTGGGACGGTAGGAGTTCACGTCGAATGGACGATGGGGCAGAATCGCGTGAAAATTGGAATACGGAAGGGGGCGGTTAAATCTGGGAGGGGGGGGATCGATCCTACTACTCTTCGAGGAAGGAGGATCTGTCGGGCTGCGACGAGGCAGCGGCGGGGCGGCGACGGCGGCTACATAGCCGCCGGACCAACAGCCAGGCCCACACGATGGGCGGCGACGAGGCGGCGACGGAGTGACGACGGCGACGACATAGCCGCCGGACCAACAGCCAGGCCCAGACGACGGGCGGCGACGAGGCGGGAAGTAAGACCCCCTACGTGCACTCACAGTTTCGGTAATATCCACGTACGTACAAATAGTGAGATAAGAGGGGGGGAGAGAGAGAGAGAGAGAGAGGCAGAGAGAGAGAGACCGAAACAGGGGCACACGTATTTGTATGCTCACCTGTCGATACACAAGCACAGGCACGCATATGATGCGCATTACTATGAGGCAAAAATCTGCCACGCAGAGAGAGACAGAGAGGGAGAGAGAAAGACAAACTACAAAAATATAGAGAGAGGGAGAGAGAGAGAGACAAAGAAAGAAGGAAAGAAGCAGAGAAAGAGAGAGAGAGAGAGAAACAACAAAACAAGTCTGGATGAAGGACTACCCAGCGAGGACATGTGGCGGAGGGAGGGAGGGGAGGAGGGACGAGGGAAGAGCAGCGGACGAGGGAATGGGCGGATGGGTCGCGCAGGAAGCATCACGAGGGAAGAGTAGAGGGCCAGCAAAAAGTAGGCAAGACGATGGCACATGGGAAGCAGAAGGAACAGCTGGGAGAGAGAGAGAGAGGGAGAACGAAACAAAAAGGGAACACAAGCAAACGAGAGAAGCACACATCCAAAGAAGAAAGGGGGTTGCGAGAGAGAGAGAGAGAGAGACATCGGATCCCATCGGACCAGACTTGCGAGTGTCGGGAGGCGGGAACTCAACACACCCCGATATACAGGCGTGCAGCGCGCAAGCGTGCGCGCGGGGGCACTGTCAACGCACGCCAGAGGAGGTGGAGGAGGACGGCCCAGATGTCCATTCGACTGTGAAAGCACACGCTTTTTGTTCCCCTGGTGCGCCGATGAACCGGGGCCAACCTCAAAGTACACTAGTCTCCTGGCGAAACGGCGTAGCAGTCCTGACATGCGCACATGTACAGAAACACAAGCACGCAACACACACACACATACACACACACGCACGCACACACAAAACGAACATACAAACAAACAGCAACACAGCTGAGGCCTGCCCTCCAAATCGAGGGATAACCACGATGGCGCGGACAACCGGGCTGTTGGGGAAGGACCCGCTCCTCCGCCTCGAGCAGGGGAAGGAGGGAAACATTATCCTTCTCCTCCCTCCTCCTCCTCCTCCTCCTCTTCCTCCTGGTGCTCATGCTCCTCTCCTCCTCTTCCTCCTCCTCCTCCTCCTCCTCCTCCTTCTCATCCCTCCTCCTCCACCCTCCTCCCCCCCCACCCTCTGCTCCTCCTCCTCATCCTTCTCCTTCTCCTCCTCCTCCTCGTCCTCCCCCTCCCCCTCCCCCTGCCATCCCCGCAATTATCCGGTTCCTTCGCAGACAGACCCTGCTCCTCCCCCTCCTCCTCCTCCTCCTCCTCCTCCTCCTCCTCCTGAGTCTCCTCCTCCTGAGTCTCCTCCTCCTGAGTCTCCTCCTCCTCGAGCAGGCGTGAGGAGGAGGACCTCCTCCTCCTCCTCCTCCTCCTCCTCCTCCATCTCCTCTTCCCTCCTCCTCCTCCTCCTCCTCCCTTCATCCTCCTTCTTCCCGATTTCTCTCCTCCGCCCCCTGCCTGCTTGTCCAGATTCTCTCTCCGTCCTACTCCAGATTGTCCTCCTCCTCCTCCTCCTCCTCCTCCTCCTCCTCCTCCTCGTGCAAGATTTAGCATGGGGGAAGCGAGTCCCGAGGGAAACGGGTGATGGACCCTGGGGCCTTCCCCCAGGACGAGCTTTGCATCCCGAGTAGTTCTTTGACAGTCCAGGGATCCGTGAAGGGACCCGAGCGCCCGAAAGAGGCGAAAAAACTCAGGACCCGCTTCCCCCAGGACCCGCTTCCCCCATGGCGAAAGATGGAGAGGCGGACCTTGTCCTCTTCCTCCTCCTCCTCCTGCTCCTCCTCCTCCTGCTCCTCCTCCTCCTCCTCCGCTCCTCCTCCTCCCCCTCCTCCCTCCTCCTCCTCTCCTCCTCCTCCTCCCCTCCTCCTCCCCTCCTCCCTCCTCCTCCTCCTCCTCCCCCCTCCGCCCCCTCCTCCTCCTCCTCCTCCTCCTCCTCCTCCTCCTCCCCCTCCTCCTCCTCCCTTCGCCTCCTCCTCCTCCTCCTCCTCCTCCTCCTCCTCCATCTCCTCTCCTCCTCCTCCTCCTCCTCTCCCTCCTCCGGCTTTCTTCTCCTCGAGCCAAGGAAAAGAGGGAGGAGAGGCGGCGAGGCCCCGCCGCAGCGGGCGGGCGGCGGGGGAGCTTTCTCCCTCGCGGCGTCGCTCTCCTCGGCGCGGTCGGCCGGCACGTCCCGCCCCTCCCCCGCGTGCCTCCTCCTGCTCCTCCTCGTCCTCCTCCTCCTCCTCCTCCTCATCCTCTTCCACTATTTCTTCTTCTCCTCCTCCTCCTTCCCCTCCTTCTTCTTCTCCTCCTCCTCCTTCTCCTTCTCCTGGTCCTCATCCCCCTCTCCTACCACACTCCTACTCCTCCTCCTCCTCCTCCTCCTCCTCCTCCTCTTCCTCCTCCTCCTCCTCCTTTTCGTCCTCCTCCTCCTCCTCCTCCTTCTCCTCTTTCCCCTCTTGCTCCTCATCCTCCCTCTCCTCCCCCTTTTCCTCCTCCTCCTCGGCCTTTTTCCTCCTCCTCGTCCTCATCCTCCCCCTTCTCCCTCTCCTCTGTCTCCTTTTGTTCCTCCTCCTCCTCCTCCTCCTTCTCAGCAGCAGCAGCAGCAGCAGCAGCAGCAGTATCGTCAGCATCATCAACATCAGCAGCATCATACCCATCATCATCATCATCATCATCATCATCATCATCATCATCATCATCATCATCATCATCATCATCATCATCATCATCATCATCATCATCATCATCATCATCATCATCATCATCATCAGCATCATCATCATCATCATCATCATCATCATCATCATCATCAGCAGCAGCATCATCAGCATCAGCATCAGCATCAGCTCACAGCATCAGCATCATCATCATCATCATCATCATCATCATCATCATCATCATCATCATCATCATCATCATCATCGTCATCGTCACCCTCATCATCAACATCATCATCATCATCACCATCATCATCGACATCATCAGCATCACCATCATCATCATCAGCAGCAGCAACAACATCCCTCCTGCGGAGCTAGAAGCCCTCCCGCACCCCTCGGCCCGAGGGGGCGGGGCGGGAGGTGCACCCCTCCCACACCGCGCCCCCTCCTCCAGGAGGAGGAGGAGGAGGAGGAGGAGGAGGAGGAGGAGGAGGAGGAGGACGAAAAGGAGGAGGAGGAGGTGGAGTGGGGGGAGGAGGAGAGGGGGGAGGAGGAGGGAGGAGGGATGGAATGGAGTGGGCAACTTCGCGATGCGAATCTGAAGCGGCAAACGAACTACGAGGACTTGGCTCGGCGAGAGCCCTGATCATCGGGTCATTTTGCCCATCACGGGACCTGTCGAGCGACCTCCGACGGGTGACACTCATCTGCTCTGAACTCGTCACGGCAAGGCGCTTCCGAAGCTGCTCGCGGGGGTAAGAGGACGAGACGGAGGAGGAGGTGGACGAGGAGGAGGAGGAGTAGGAGGAGGCAGAGGAGGAGGGGAAGAGGGAGGAGGAGGAGGAGGGGAAGAGGGAGGAGGAGGAGGAGGAGGAGGAGGAGGAGGAGGAGGAAGAGAAGGAGGAGGAGCAGGAGGAGGAGCAGGAGGAGGAGGAGGAAATGAGGAGGAGGCGGAGGGGAAGGAGGCGGAGGAGGCAGATGACAGCATGCCGCCCTTCCCCTCGTCCCCTCCCAGCCGTCCCCCTGGCCGAGGGTGCCCCCCCCCAAAAAAGATCTCCGTGCACAGCCCGAGGAGTCGGTCCTTCGGACGGAAGAAGATCGACGGCACGGAGAGCATGGAGACGATCGTCATGATCTGGCACGGGCGGGCCGCTCCAGGGAGCCACGGCCGCACGCTCCAGGGAGCCACGGCCGCACGTCTGTGCGGAGGGGAAAAAACACACAGACACAATGAATCCTCGATTCCCCAGAAAATATGGAAAAGTATGGGAAGTGGGGGGGAAGACAGAACCCCAGAAAATATTGGAAAATGTAGGGAATCTTCTTATTTGTGTGTATTTGTTTGTGTGTCATGGGGCCCCTTCAGTCTGTGCGCGCAGGGGCGTGCGCGCGCGCGCCCGCGCGCGGGCGCGCCGGGAGCTGGCGGTGGGGCGAGCGGCCCTCTCGGCGCGGGAGCCTGGAGAAGCTACCACGCTGCAGTGAGGGGCAACGATAGGGGGGGACTGGCACAGTGGGAGATGCATCGGCCTGGAATCGGCGATGCATCGCCGATAGATCGGCGATGGGCCTCCGGTCCGTGAATCCGCACCTTCCTGGGCAGGTTGGGGCTGTCGGGCCCCTATCGGCGACCAATGGGCGATTGGAGGTCGATGCCTATCCCCCCCTATGCCTATCCCCCTCTATCGTTGCCCCTGCTGTAGGCGCGAGCAGACATCGCACGTAGAAGTCGGGCTTGAATCCACCAGCCCTTCGGCGTGTGGAGAGCGCTGTCGTCGTCGTCGGCGTCGACGTCGGCGTCGACATCGTCGTCGTCACCGTCGTCGCCGTCGCCAATCTCAAAGAAATCGGCGAACAAAGGAACTCAGAAACGTGGTAGGCAAGTCGCAGGGAATCCCCTTCCCTTCTTTCCCTTTCTTACCGACGTCGCCAATCTCAAAGAAATCGGCGGACAAAGAAATGCAGAATCGCAGTCAAGTCGCAAAGGAGCCCCTTCCCCTCTTCCCTTTCTCACCGGTGGGTGCTCGGGGGGGGGGGGTCCCGAGTCAGAACGCTGCCCCCCCCTAGGGCCCCGAGGGGTAGCGAGGGGAGGTCGCCAGCGGGGTTCTCAGGGGAGGTCCCGCCTTCATGGTCGGCGGCACCGGCCGCAATGCCTTCGCAATATGGCAGACGCCTCACTGTGAGATGTCTGATGACTTCTCTCTCTCTCTCTCTCTCTCTCCTTATATATATACATATATATATATATATGTATATATACCGCTCCCCTACATATCCCCGTATGCTCTCAGTCGGTTCACACGTGCCTCGATCGTCTTGCTTCTCTGTGTCTTTCCATGTCTGCCTCGCCCTATCCGTGTGCTGCAGCGCTGGCAAGACCATACCTGCTGCGAGTATCCCAACAAGCTAGCTGGCTACCCATGCATGGTCGAATATCTTTCAGCCGTTGCATCATGTCCATCGCTACGTGCTGGCCTCTGCTGAGCAACCGAGCTCGTTGGCCGTGATGAGCATCTGGGCGGCAGAAGGTTGCCCACGCAACGAGCAATGCAAGCTGTGCACCAAGTCCGTCGGGGAAACCGACAATACTCATGATTCATCCGATGGACGAGCATGACACTGACCATACTTCAAGCGGAATGGGGGCAAGCAGCGACGAGGAGGACCACCAAGACAAGGAGCCAGATGCAAACGCCCGCGCTGGCGATGCTCGGATGCCACGGCGAGAGAACTTCGGCTGGGCACAGAATTACAAATACGGAGCCTTCTTGTGGCGCTGGATGTGGCCAACAGGCAGCCAGGGGAGGCGGGTGAGGAGGAGGAGGAGGACGAGGAGGACGAGGACGAGGAGGAGGAGGATCGGGTATCGGGGAGGAGGAGGAGGAGGAGGACGAGGAGGAGGAGGAGGACGAGGACGAGGACGAGGAGGACGAGGAGGACGAGGAGAACGAGGAGGACGAGGACGAGGAGGAGGAGTAGGAGGAGGAGGAGGAGGAGGAGGAGGATCGAGGATCGGGGATCGACGGTCAAGGCTCGAGGACCTGCGGTGTAAGGCCTGAAGCGCTTTTCAACCTTTCCGGGCCTCTGGAAGCTTTCGGGACCTCCGGGGGCCTCCAGAGAGACATTCAGAGACCTCCAGGGAGTAGGGGGTTGGCGGATGAGGAGGAGGAGGAGGACGAGGAGGAGGACGAGGAGGAGGAGGAGGGGGAGGAAGGGGAGGAGGAGGACGAGGAGGAGGAGGAGGAGGAGGAGGAGGAGGAGGAGGAGGAAGATGAGTAGGAGGCGGCAGAAGCGGACCAGAGGAGAAAGGATGAGGACACTGACCCATGGACAATGGACTGCCTTGCCGCCTTGCCACCAAAAACCAGGTCCAGGAAAAGACAGTGGAGCAGGCAGCGACGAAGCAAAGGACCGACCTCCACGACCAGTGAGCGAGCGGCCAACAACGCAAGATCGAATTATCGGGACCGCTCCAACGCATGAGTGGAAACAAACAAGCAGGACTGGAGGAGGAGGAGGAGGAGGAGGAGGAGGAGGAGGAGAGGAAGAGGAGGAGGGGGATGTCTAGCTTAGCGAAGGTCATTGCAGCATGCGTTCGGAAAGAACCCATGGAAGATGGGCCATTGCGACAGGTCCGCCACAGACGGGGGGAATAAGTAGGATGTGGAGGGCGGCGGGTGGAAGAGTATGAGGACGACGAGATGGAGTACTAGGGGGCTGGAGGTGTAATTGATGTCTCTCGCCGCACCTCTCGATGTCGACACCCAGTGCCATGCGCAAGCGCACCACCGTGCAAGACACGCATTCCACCGCGCATGTACTTTGGTTCAGATTGTGCGCTTTGCACGTGATCAGTGGTGGAGCACCTGATGAATCACATTCATATTAGCCTTTGTGGGCGACGAAAAATGGGGGGACGATAAGAAGGAGGGGGGGCAGCGAGGGCTGCAGAAAGAGGCCCTTCAGGGCCTCTGAAGGGGCCCTCTCGGGCCCAAAGGAAGCCTTTCGGGCCCGAGAAGGGCACCTGCCTTCCCCCCCCAATTCATCGACCCCCAACACTTCGCGCCCAACCTTTCCTGTAGTCTTCACCGCCGGCAGGCGAGTCCCAGAGGCTGCTCCCGCGAAGCCACTGCAACAACATACTCGCCGGGGCTGAACGATTGTGGGCGGGAGGTGAATCGCCGGCGGTGTCAGAGACGACCGCAGAAGACTCGGCCCACGCAACCGCTGTGCTCAGCGGGAACACACAGCCGACAGAACTTGCATCCGCGTGGCCACGGCAACGCCAAGGATGGAAACATGATCGGAGGCGAGCCCGGGGGGGGAGTGAGAGAAGGGACGGGCCTTCTCAGACGGCTCGGAAATCCCCCAGCCGGCTGAGCAGTCTTCTGAGCCTTCCCCGAAAACAGGGAAAACCTCTCAGAAGGCGCGAGGGCTTCTGAGAAGTCCCGCCGCCTTCTGAGGAGGCCTTCTCCTTCTCATTTCCCCCCTCGCTCGCCGCCGACATGAGGGAACATTTGCGATGGCCACATGCGTGCATCAGCATTTCCGACGGCAGCGGTGAGTCCAACCTTGGACAGAGCTGGATCTAGTGGGAACTGGGCCATCTTGTTCCCGAGGGCCGTGATGTCCCCCAAGTTGTCCTCGGCGCAGGGCTTCGCAAGACAGACGCCCGTGGTGCTGACGACGCCTGCTCCGCCCGCCACAGGACGGCGGCCTGCCCCCTGCCCAACCTCTGTCGAACTTCACCCCCGTCTGAAGTGGACCATTACCGCCACGCATTCCCATCGAGTGCTACGCACCTGGCGCGCCCAGGGATGACGTTAGAGGGTGCAGGCCGCCTCAAAAAAGACACAAACAAAAAACAACAAAAAACTCCGTAAACAGAAGCTTTTGGCGCTCCGCGCGGATTTCTCGGATCTGCTCTGGACCCCCCTCGCGCGCCAGGGGCGGCGCCGGAGGCGCCGCTGGGGGGTCCCCAGCGCGGATCCAAGAAATCCGCGCGGAGCGCTAAAAGCTTATGTTTTTGTGGCGTCGTTTTTTCTTCTTCGGGTAAGGCGGCGGGGCTTCTCAAAGCCCTCTGTAGGCAGAGGGGTTTCGTCACGTGATGCGGAGATTCCGCCTCCCCACCGAATCCCCCTCCTTTTCCTCCCCTCTCTGTATCCTCCTCCTCCTCCTCCTCCTCCTTCTCCTCCTCCTCCTCTTCCTCCTCCTCCTCCTCCTCCTCCTACTGCTCCTCCTACTGTTCCTCCTCCTCCTCCTCCTCCTTCTCCTACTCCTACTCCTCCTCCGATCCTCCGATTCCAGAAGGCCGTGACGGCCTTCTGGGAAGCCTTCCCCTGGTTCCGGAGGAGACCGCAGGAGGGCGGCAGCACGGCGGCCGTCGGAGCCTGCTCCGAGGAGGCCCGCGTCCTCCGCCTTTCCCCCTCTGGGCGCTCGCCGCCGAGCTTCGGCACACGCGCACACGCACACACACACAGACACACGCACACACACGCACACACACACACACACACACACACACGCACACACACACACACACACACACGCGCGCGCACACACACCACACACACACGCACACACACACACACACACTCACGCGCATGTGGTAAACAAGCGCGCACACATCTATGTGGAAAGAAGCACACGTGGGAAACAACTCTCACATGCATGTGGGGAAACCACGTGGACAACAATTTTTGGGGAAACACACACACACACGCTGTTTGTTTGTTCCACATGCGTGTGCTTTTGTCGGCCAATGCTTCAATTGAACAAAACGTCCGCGCGATGCTGCGGCGAACATTTAGTCAGCATCCGAGCGCGATGCTCAACACGCCCAGCCCTCCCACTCGAAAAGCTGCTGCAGCATCCCCCTTTTATCACACGTGGATGTCCCGTCTCACCTGGTGGTGGTCATGGTACCAGTGCCAGTGGTAGTACCCTTGGTAATCGCAAGATTCCGATAGATGCCGCCAAGACTGCCCCGAGATGGCTCCACGACTCTCGAGAGGATCCCAGCAATCTCCGCGTCGACCCAGCGAGCTCCGAACCGACCCCCCGACGGGCCACATCAAGTCCCCGACAGGGTCCCGAGATGTCCCGCAGCATTGTCTTGATACAGCATAGGCATTGGAGCGCACTCGATTCGTTCAATTTTTGCATGGACGGCTGCTGCCTTCCGACCCTGGAGAGCCAAACAGCTGTCATCAGCAAGCCCGGGGACGAGCCCTGAACCGCTTTCATCCGCATCCTCCTCCCTTCGGTGATCCACTGACCCGGGTCAAAGCAAACCCGGGTCAGCCGGGCTTTGCAGGATCCTGCGAGAGCCTGCAGGATCCTGCGCCCAAGCCCAGGTCAGTGCGACCCTGGCCCTGCAGGATCCGGCAAGATCCGGCGCTCTGGCTGACCCCCCACTTGCATTGGCCCCCGTCTCTTGAGCCCCAATCCCTGCCCCTGGAGCCCGGCGATCGCAAGCGCAGGCGCTCGCGGGCTGCACGATGGATGGAAGCGCGTCGGCGCTCCAGGGCGCCCAACATCCACAGCTGGAACATGGAAGTGAGGATGGTCTCCTGGCGGCGGGGGGGCACACGGAGAGGAGGCGGCGGGAGGCAGGGGCGCGGACGATGACGGGGATGACGAGGACGGCGAGGGCGAGGGAGGGCGAAGACGGGGTGCATCTTCGCGGTCGTGTGCGCCTTCTCCCCGTCTCAGACGTGCGATGTCTTGACTCGTTCAACAACAGCGGGTCCCCGAAGTCTCGACCCTGTGCCCAGGACCAGCTCTTCATCCTGAATCGTTTTGTTGACGGTCCCAGGGCCCGGTATAGGGGCCCCCAGAGGTCCAAAACGGCACAACAATGAAGCCGGGCCTGTCCCTCTACAGCAGGAATATTCGAAGTAGTCCAGAAATAGTCTGGGGACGATTTGCTGAGTATGTTGGGGTCTATGTTTGATGATTCTTGGATCCTCTTTTATTTTTCGTCCAAAACCCGCCTGTAGGACAGGCCCGACCTAACACAAAAAACCTCCCGCCCTGAATTCTCCAGAGCGCCAGCGCGTCTGCGTCCCCGGACATTCGACGTCTCGATTTTTTCAAGACGCGAGCCCCCGACCTCCCGACCACTTCCTCGGCACCGGTTTTTCGTCCCGAGTCGTTTTTCGACGGTCCCGAGGCCCGGCGAGCGCCTCCAGAGGCCGAAAAGGACGAAAAACCTCGCCTCGATTTTCTTCGAGAGTCGTTTTTCGACGGTCCCGAGGCCCGGCGAGCGCCTCCAGAGGCCGAAAAGGACGAGAAACCTCGCCTCGATTTTTTCGAGACGCCCGATTTCCTTTTTTTCGATTTTCTTCGAGACGCCTCGAAGAACCTCGCCTCGATTTTCTTCGAGACGCCAGCGTGTCTGCGTCGGCGGCTCTGCGCGAGCCACGCTCGGCCTCGGCGGGGCGCTGGCCGACGCCGCTCGCGGGCCGCCGGGCGCACGGCCCCTCGCCCCAAAAGCGTGCCGGCGGCAGCAGAACCCACGCCCTCGCGCCTCGCGCGCCGACCGCGGCTGCCTCCGCGCTCTCTCCCGCGCGGCCTCCGTGGGAGAAGGCCCCCTGGGATTATGTCGGGCATGTCCTCCTACAGGCGGATTTTGGAGAACAAATTCAACGTGTATATATATATATATATAGTAACATACCAGCAAATACTAACAATAATCGTCCCTGGACTATTTCCTCAATATTTTCTAACGTTTCTCGTGTAGAGAGGAACAATCGTCCACAGAAGTAATCCACAAAAATAATCAACAAAAATAATCAAACCATGCCCAAACATACTTTGAACAAAAATGTCCCCCGACTATGTTTGACTTTTTGGGGGTATTCCTCTAGTGGAGAGACCGGCCCGGCTTAGTGGTAGCCCAATCCTCGCGCCTCGCGCCGACCGCGGCTGCCTTCGCGCTCTCCCGCGCTGCCTCCACGGGAGAAGGCCCCTGGGATCCGCGCGGCCCAGAATCAGGGAATCGAGCACTGACACAAACAGAACAACTCGGAGGTCCGCGCGGATTTCTCGGATCCGCGCTGCACCCCCTGGCGGCGCCTCCCGCGCTGGACCCCCTGGCACGCCCCGCGCGCCAGGGAGGGGGGTCCAGCGCCGATCCGGGAACTCCTGGCGGACCTCCGAGTTCTTGTGTGTATGTCATTGCTTGTCTCCCTCTACAATATTCCACTCTCCTGCCGGTGGCGACTTGGCTCCAAGCCGCGGGTCGGGACTTGGCTCCATGCCCCGGTGCCTCAGTGGGTAGGCACCGCAGGAGGCAGGGCGCGAGGGAGTGGGGGGAGACAAGCTAGGTGCGCTCGCGCCGTATCTGACATCCTACCCCTCCCTCCCATCCCTTACCATGGCACAGATCCCCTCTCTACTCGCTCAGTCGGATGTCGAGCAGGGCAATGATGGGTACGCGGGGAGAGGAGGCCGTGCTGGCCGACGGTGTCCACGGTCTTCTCCTTCGTGCCTGCCCCCCTGGCAGCAGCGGGCGACGCGCCGCGGCAACCGCTTGCCCTCCCGCGGACCCTGAGCTCCCACCGGGGCGAGCCCTCTCCATCGCGGCGGCGGCGGGGCGGCCTTCTTGTTCGTTCTTGCTGGCCCGCTGGCTTCTGCGCCAAGCTCGGCCTCTCAACATCGGGCAAATCTCCCAACCCTGGCAGGGCCGAGAGTCTGCCGGCGCTCCTCGCAGCTCCGAGCACTCGGACGGACACGTGCATGCCCCGCTGCACTTGCTGTGTGCTTCCCGGCACCGCTCACGACTCTCCGGGCGCTCGCCGCCCTCTGGTGCGGACTCCACACGCGAGATAGGCGCCGCTGACAGAGTCTGCAGGAGACAGGCGGGTGCAAAGGAGCAACAGACATCTTGTTGCTTTTAACGTCGCAGCGCGGCAGAGGCAGTCCGCACGCGCGCTCAAGCGGGCTGGAGCAAAAAGACCCATGGGAGGGGAAGGAACGAATGAATGGTTCGGGAAAAATGAGGGGCACACGACACGTCCGTACCTGGCATGCTGAATTTGCGACGGCGCACACACCGTGAGCGGTGCGTGGCACCTAAGCTTCGACGACGCATGGTGGACCCGAGCGCGATGTGATCCCGTGACCCAGGCGATTGGCAAGCCGCGGGTCGCTCACAGTGGTCCATTACAACAGGGCGGCCAAAAACGGCTGCAGCATTCAGCATTCTACTCCCACACGCCACCCCGTGAACGCGAAACCACCTTCAGGCCGAGACCGTCGCGAGCTGCACGCGAAAATTCCTTACATCGGAAGTCAACCGAAATGCAGCGCCAGCGTGGCCTCATGGCATCGGACAACAGCTCGAGTGCTTGGCTGGCGGCCCACGTATGGCACAGATGTGCAACCATCGTGCTACCATGAGGAATGCTGAGCCAGGAGCACATCAGCTTCTTCCTGGCCGCAGCGAGCCTCGGCCTCGAATAGGTTGCCTGGCCTAGATCCCAGGAGAGGAGGGAGGAGGGAGGAGGGAGGAGGGAGGAGGGAGGAGGGAGGAGGGAGGAGGGAGGGAGGGAGGGAGGGAGGGAGGGAGGGAGGGACGGGAGGGAGGGAGCGGCCCAAAAATCAGAGCCACCCTTGAGCCCAAAGTTATCCTTATTCCAGCGTCTTCACTGCACGGGCGTCCAAGATGGGGCTCTCGTGAAGGGCCGCTGGGCCGGCAAGGACGCGAGAGGCCGAACGGGGGAGCCATCTGGCTAGGGCAAAGTGGCAGGGGCCCCGTTCGAGAATCCTTGCAAGGCCCAGCCGTTCTAAACGCAGCCCCAGGTGAGTTCTGCACCACAGGCAGTGTGGCTTGAGAGCGCCATCCAGCTCGAGGGCCACCTCAACGTCCTCTCACTCATGCCATCGCCATTCCCCCTTATCCGTCCTTCTCCTCCTCCTCCTCTTCCTCCGCCCTCCTCTCGTTCTCCCTCTTCTTGGAGAGAAACACTGTTTGTATATGAAGTCTTCCGTCGTCTACTCTTAAAATGAGAGTTAGGCGATACTCTGATCTATTTCCAAGGTGAGCCAAGACACCACGGTCGATGCGATGCGAGACTCTCATGCTGGCGTAATCGACGCTCTCTTGGCACACTTAACAGGATGCAGCGGAGTCAAGCGGCACAACGAGGAGAGTAAGATGGAAGCGCCTGAGGCGGTGGATCCATGAAGCCAAACTCGAGCAAGTTCTTCACCCCCATGGATTTCAGGAGCAATACCACGTTGGACAGGTTCGTCCTTCCAATCTGTTCCGTACTCTGAGGCCCGTCTTCGTCCTGCATTTACCCTCATTGCTCACAGAAGTCATCTGTTCATCGCAACTCCCCAGCCCCTGGCTAGCGAGACCCTCGTGCCAAGACCCATCCGTCGGAAGAAGTGGGTGCAACATTCACCTAGGAATGCGTTGAAACTAGATTGGGTTTCCACCGGCCCCCTGAAGACGAAGGAAGGGGGGAACCAACCCGTCCTTGAAATAAGAAGGCACCGAAAATATATTGGATTCTGAGGGTCCACAAATACCTACATACTTGAACGACCGACGGGTATGATGTGGCGGCTACTCATCAGGCTCCCATCCTTCTCGCCATCCATCTACTCATCCCAGCCCGTGACCACTCCCGTCCAGAAAAGCGTGCCTGCCAGGTCCACTCGGTGTCTTCGTGCTCGGGACCCTGTTCCCCAACCGGCGCTTGCACTGACGTGGTTCGAACTTGGCTTTGAAAGACTTGCCTGCCGTCGCCGCCGCTTCCCTGGATCTGGCCTTGCCCCTGGCTGCCCCAAAGCCCAGAAGCCGTGCCCTGGTCGCATGAGATGGCTCTGCCCTGTCGCCGGCTGTTCACGGCCTCCCTGGCGAGCTTAGATCAGCAGAAACCAAAAAGTACCAAATGCCGCTGCTCCCCGGGCCTCTCCAGGGGTGCGTTCTGACCAGAACTTCGAGGAGAACCCAGCCGTGGCGACGAGAGCTCTCCGGGACGAGCACCGGTGTTGGTACCTGCCCAGACATCCGACGTCTCGATCTTTTCGAGACGCGGGCCCCCGACCTCCCGACCACTTCCCCGGGGCCGGTTGCTCATCCCGAGTCGTTTTTTGACGGTCCCGAGGCCCGGAGAGGGCCTCAGGAGGCCGAGACCGACGAAAAACCTCCGTCCCGATTTCTTCGAGACGCCCGATGCCCGGGTGCTCCCCTCCTGCAAGAGCGCCGCGGAGGCCGCAACTTCGGCCCCGTCCTCGGCGCCCCCCCGGCCCTGGTGCCAAGATTCTGCCCTGGGCCGCCGAGGAGGTGTCCCCGCGGTGCGGCCCTGCCCCCCCCCCTCGACGGAGCCCGGCCCCGGTGCTGGGAGCCGTGCCCTCGCCATCGCCGCCGAGGCAGGCGCCCTCGCGAACCGCCCGGCCCACGCAGCCGCCCCCTCGGAGCCCGCGGCCGCGCCCTGGCCGCCCAGGACCTCCTCGGCTCCGCGCCGTCCCCTCGGCCCCGGAGCATCGATCCTCGAGCGTCGATCCTCGACCCCCTCCCTCCTCGAACTTCGGCCCTCGAGCCTCGAACCCCGATCCTCGAGCTTCGGTCCTCGATCCGCTGCTCCCCTGGCCCGCCCTGCGGTCCGACACCGACACCTCCCTGGCATCGGTGGCCTCCCCGCCTTGTCGCCGGCTCCAGCTCCGTGGCCGGGCCGCCCTGGGGACGTCTTCGGCTCCCCCCCCCCGAGGAAGACGAAGCCATGACTCGGACGAAGGGGATCTCTGAGGGCCAGCAACGTTCTGGAGGATGCATCGGGCGCCGCGGCCGTTCCAGAGCGCTCCCGAACGCTCTGCTCTGAGGGCGTTCTGGAACGCTCTGGAGCGCTGTCTCCCGACCCTGGCCCCGCCAGACCAAAGCCGCCTCTGCCCACGTGCTGTGGCCTCTGTGCCGACAGGCCTCGCTCCTTCGGCCCCCCCCGTTCGCGACTGCCTCTGGCCGAGGTGCTGTCCGCCGGCCGCCGAAGAATTCCTTGGCTTGCTGGCGGCGCGCAGAGGGGGGTAGGGGGAGGGGGGAAGGCATCTTAGAAGCAGGCTGCTTCTTAGAAGGCGCTGGCCATACATCTATAGATAAGGCCCGCACCTTCTAAGAAGCAAGGGTGCTTCTAAGAAGCCCCCCTCCGCCCACCACCACCCCTCTGCGCGTAGTTGATGGCCTCCGAAGACTTCCTTGGCTTGGCCGCCACGTCCCCAGCTCCCATGGTCAGACCGAGGCTGCGGATAGGAACGTCGGCTTCGCGTGTGGCGGCTGCGGCGGCCCCTAACCAACACGCTACCCCTGGCAAGCTCATAGCGTGCTGATCCGCATCGCGGGAAGAGGGTCTGGGAAGCGCTTGCAACGTTGATGCTTGGGGACTCGGGCGTGGTCAGCGTGTCGCGCCGAAGCGCGGTGGGCCAGAACCAGCAGCGCATTAGGCTAAGCAAGCGTTCCTGGCCGCACTGTCAACGACAACAAAAGAAGACTGCATCCTGCCTAGCAGGTTGGGGCCACCACGCGCAAATCTAATATACCGCCCGCGGGCTCAAACGCTTGGCCGGTGTTGATTGTTCTTACCCTATCGTCGGATTGGTTTTAAAAGCGGTCTCGCCCATTACCGCCAGATCTGGACTCAATTGCGATACCTGTTGCGACATCGCCTCTCCTAGTAGCGAATTGTCGCTGAACTCTATCGAAATTTGAAGATGCGTGGTCCGTGAACTACGCACTGCGCATCGTCTCAGAAACAATGTGTCTCGTGTTGCGTAGATCTCCCAACAACGCAAACGACTGCATAACCAGCCTGCACAAAGCGAACAAATGCCTGGTTCCGTGGGACATGTTGTGCAAGCCGGCCAGACGTATTCCCCACCGTGCCCTCGAAGCGGTAGGACCTGTTAGCATGCATCTTAGCTGCCCAGTCGGGTCCCTGTCGTTTTTCAGACAGGCGATCCCGCCTCGCCTCGGGGGACTCCCAACTCCACCTGCCTTAGTGTTGTTCCCTGGCATTCTTCTGGCGTCAGGACGGACCTGCATACTACCCCCAAGACCGTTGCGAGATGCCTCAAGAACAGGTCAACACAGGTGACTCATACTCAGATGCCAAGAGATGCTCCCCAAAGGCGCCCTAAACTTGAAGAAAGCCCCCAGAAGCGTCAAAGGATCTTTCAAGCAAACTCAAACCACGTTTATGTGACATCATTCCCTGGATGCTTTCTCAAGATGGCTTGAAGAAGTCCTGGGAATGACCTGAGATGGCAAAATATGAACCCAAGCTGTCGCCAAGACGGCTCTAGAGCAGCCTCAAAGACGGCGCAATCTTCCTACAAGAGGGCTCAACAATGGCCACACGACCCGTGCAGCCGGCCCCTAGATGGTTCTACCGAGCCTCTTCGGGAGAGCTCGGCAGAGCCATAATGCACAGCCTGAAGGACCGAAATAGATCCACAGGAGGCCCTGCAGAAGCTCCCATGAGGCATCCGAGAAACCCCCAATAGGCCCCCAAGAGCCCACAAGCCCACACACCTCCTCAAACCCGCGCCACGCTACACCATCATGGCGGTGCCCCCCAAACGGTTTCAACCTGAGCCTGCTCGGGAGATCGGTAGCACAATCCTGCGCGCGTTTCGATAATCCGCTGCGCAGGCATCGGGGTAATTATAGCGCAGCTGCTGCAAAAAGGGCAAGGGTGTGTGTGTAGATGTGTATATATATATATATACACATGCCTTTGTAGGCATGTATGTATGATAGCCGGCGTGGGCCCCACGCAGGAAGTTATTCCACTGCAAAAATGGACGGTATGCGTTGCAAGATGTGCGGTGTGAAGTCCACCTTGCCGAGCGTGACGTCGTCAACTCCACTGATCGAGCACTCATCCCAATCTGCCACCCGCAACATGTTTTGCGCACCCCATGCGGCCGCGATTGCGGTAAACTTACTGGCGCTGGCTGCGCTCGCGCGCAAGCTCGCACGCAGAGCGGCCAGATGCTTCGGCACAACCGACGCGGTCGCGACGGCGCTTACCGATGTGAACTCCCCAGCGCGCGGGCACTTAAATGCGGGTCGGTAACTCGGGCAGGCGTGGTACCATGATGACATCGACGTCTCCGGCAGCGATGATGTTTATAGCGATGTCGGCGGCCAGGATGAAGATGTCGGCGGCAAGACCAATGACGGCGCCGATGCTTGTGACGACTCTGACGATGACGTCCACGGATCGGTGGTGAAGAATGGGACTGAATGATGATGGCGGCAAGGGTGGCAATGGCTGCGAGCGAAGATGACAGTAGCGGCGCTGATGCCATGGAGCTGATGGGGGTGACGGTTAGGAAGTGCGCGCGCGGTACTCTGAGAAAGCTGCAAGGCATGGTGTTGAAACTGAAGCAGCTTCAGGGCTTCATATGTTTTTGGAAAACTCTTTCTCGAAATGCTTCGAGAACTGAAGGTGTTGGAAGGATGTCGGCGGGCGCATGGTGCCCCGCGCGTGTGGCCTGCATGGTATACTTTGATATGGAATTCTGCACTTCGCACACGCTAGATCAACGCGGGTGCACGGCGTGGTGGCAAGAGCAGGCGGGTTCTGCACGATATTGCCGAAAGCATATGGTTTTGAAAGAGTTCAGCAAGTGCGCGCGGGCAGAAAAGCTGCAAGACTCGTGAGGAAACGCGTATGCGTTGTTGAATCAAATTGTCATGCTTGCATAACTGCTGTCTAGAATGACTTCGACATGTGCGCGCGTGTGGGTAGTGTGCCATTTTTTGCAAGATATTGCTGGAACATGATCTATAGAGATAAACGAATATGCGCATAGTATCGTCTGGCAGGGATTTATGGGGGGCGATGTCTGGCCTTCCTGGAACGGTACGCGTTCAGATAGAAAAACAATTGGGCCGAATCCGATGCAAGCTGCGATACGGAAACGAATGCCTTTGAAGTCCAGGCTCGGGATGGGGTGGACCCTCTAGAGGCGGCAACGAGGCGGCACAGTGGCGAAACCTCGACAGACCCACCCAACCACACGAGGCGACAACGAGGCGGCAACGGGCGGCAAGGTGGTGAAACCTCGAGGGGCCCACCCAGCAAACGAGGCGGCGACGAGACGGCAATGGGCGGCAATGGGCAATGTGGTGAAACCTCGCCAGACCCGCCCAACGCACGAGGCGACAACGAGGCGGCAACGAGCGGCACCGTGGTCAAACCTCGCCGGACCCACCTAGCGCACGAGGCGGCAACGAGGCGGCAACGGGCGGCAACGTGATAATTCGCAGGACCCATCGATGTCCTGAGTAGCCGGATCCAGAACCCCTGAGTGCATGCCTGGATTTGGCGAATAGAAGTGTAAGGAGCGGGAGAGAAATACATATCTACATATTTATGTACATATATATATATACTTACAGGGAGTTTGACATACACATATAAACATATATACACACTTGTACGCTCGACGTAGTTTTTTCGCACCAAGTATGCTTATATCTACGTGTCTAGTAAGCCGTAAATGGGAAGAGAGAGGAAGAAAGAAAGAGAGAGAAAGAGAGAGAGAGCGAAGCATCTACGTATACACTTGTATACACAAACAGATGTATGTACACTTATATATATACACATATATACATATATAAAGATGTACAATCGAAGCGGCAACGGGCGGCAATGTGGCGAAGCCTCCGCAGACTCACCCAGCGAACGAGGCGGCAACGAGGCGGCAACGGGCGGCAACGAGGCAACACCTCGACAGACCCGAGGCGCGGCAGCGTGGCAACACCTCGACAGACCCGAGGCGGCAACGGGCGGCAACGTGGCGAACCCTCGAGGGACCCACCCAGGAAAAAAAAGGCAATAACGATGCGGCAGCGGGCGGCAACGTGGGGAAACCTCGCCGGACCCGTCCAGCGCACGAGGCGACAACGAGGCGGCCACGGGCGGCAACGTGGCGAAACCTCGCAAGACTCAACCAATTCCTTGGCGAGGGAAGTGAGAACCCCTAAGTGCTAGCAAGCACTGCTTCGGCCATCTTCAAATACATCGAGAGAAGGAACAGAGAAAGAAGAGGACAAAAAACAAGTAGAGAGAGAAAAAACAAAAAAGAGAGGGAGAGAAAGAAAGATAGTCAGAGGGAGAGAGAGAGAGAGAGGAGAAGGAGAGAGGGAGGAGAAGGAGAGAGAGAGAGAGGCAAATATAGATAGAGAGGCAGATGTAAACAGAGAGAGAGAGAGAGAACGCAGGACTGATGGGCCGCCACGAGCTGGGGGGCGACCACTGATAGAACGCACGCCCAATTCTGTCACCACTCGAACAGATGCGGAGGGAGGGTAATCCCATGTTGCGTATTGTTTGTGTGTCGTTGTTTCACAGACCTGTCTACTCAGCGCGCTCAGGTGTGTGCGTGCGTGTGTGTGTGTGTGTTCATCAAATGATTTGTACTATTGCATTATGTTTCGGTGGCTTGTCTGCTTAAGCGACGCACCTCATAAGAAAAGCTGACAACGCCGGCTCGGTAAGGGCAGGAGCTTCGCCTCTAGCTGGCCATCACTAGAAAATGAACAAACCGATTCACGAGCATGCTGCAACTGGGACTGACAGCAGCAATTTGCTATTGAAGGTCTGCTTGAAACTCTCTGCTGCTGTTTCGAATGAGTGTGTCCTTAAGGTTCTCCACTCAATATCGCCACCACATTCGTCGGCTAAATTCGAACTGTAAGCAAAATGTGATCGACCATCCCACTCATGGAATAACAGTTCGTCGCCCAAAACCGATACCAAAATCAAACGATCAAAATTCGTTTGCAGCACGCGTTTCCATCGGATTCGCCATACTCCAGATTTTGTGGTGACATATGTCAGCTGCGCGGACTTCACCTCCACCCTCAACCCTCCCGCGAAAAAATCATAAGCACTTGAACTCCGGCTCCGCCTCGCGCCCTTCCAGTCGAACTGTTCAAACGGCGACTCCGGCGGGGCTCCGCCAGGATAAAGCATTGTTGAATAAAGCTCTTGGACGAGTGCCTGCAACACCAGTCCACGCTTCGGGGGAGTCAGAAGATCCAGTAAGGTGAAACGGATCCGTGGCTGTTGTGGCTGCACAACCTTCTGAACCGAAGCGATTGGCATTCGAAACAACAATTGCCACCGAACCTTGTCCAAGATATCCTCGAGAGCAGCCTGCCATGTGTCGCAAGCGAGCGAAGCATCAACTCTGATTGTGCACCCATTTGTGGCGCCACGTTCACCTCCACCATGGAGACGAGTCGTAAGATCCCACTCCCAAATAAGCACCTCTGATGGTGTTGAGCCGACAAGAAACAATTGATCAAAAAACATTCTCTTCACAGGAAACCATGCGAACGACCAACGTGTGCCAGTCGACCGGCGTGTCGACCGCAAACGTGCGGTCTTGACTTTCACTCGACGGTCACCTGACAGAAAACCGCATGACAAATTGTCCGAAGGCACGTGCCTCCCATCTACGCGAGCTTCATCGACGTGTCCTGGCTGCGGACTTCCAGGCGACAGATGCTTCGCGTATAAGCGCTGACACAGATCCTCTGCAATCTGTCCGCGGGTAGTGGACGGCAACGTGTGGAATTCACAGCCTGCATACAAGGCATCATGGCTTCGCTGGTGGAGTCTAACAAGTTCCTTCAGCCTCTGATTGCAAAACTGTGCTCCAGATTCGCACAGCCTTGTTGAAGCAAGTGTGCAAGGAACACGCATTACGTGAGAACTGTTAGGTGGAACTTCTCGCTTGACTACCGATGTCGGGCACAGCGGCGTGGACCACGATCCTCGAAGCTGTGTGCGGCAAACGTTATGAACAGTTCACGTCTGAATTCCATTCACTGGGCAACCGATGCGAGAATGTCTGAACCACGCGCTGTGTTCTACTTAGCTTCCATGGCTGCAGCAGCTGGAACTGAAAACGGCTGCGGGTTGTGCAATGCATGTTCACCTGTTCTGGCGACGCAACTCACAAGATAACTGTTTGTGGTGACTGGTTTAGGGGTCTGAAGATTCCGTGAACTCGAGCCCACACGAGAACTTCGCCTCAATGGATGGGCCCACCGGGTTTCTTCATGCCAACGCAGGAACCATAGCAACGCGTACATCCACACAACTTGGAAATGGAAAGCGAAACAACTACTAAGGCTAGGCGACTCTCAAGTCGGGACCTCGTGGGCAGCAACTGCAACCCTGGGCGCACAAGGTCAACAAAAGCCAGGACTAGACGGGCAACGCACCGTGGAGGACCACCAATCTTGGCATGCAGGAGCAGCAAAGGCCACGACCGAAATTGCGGGACCCTGTGGGCAGTTCCTGGTGTAGCAGGACCCCATGCCGCAAACGTACTGTGCGAAACCACGGGGGCATAGACCTCGTGCATCAATAGGAGCATCTACACTCTACGTAGATGAGGCGCATCTGCCTCCCCAGATTGCCTCCCCGCTTGGATTATCCAGCGGCCGTGTACACTCTTTCTCTTAGAACTCTTCTCCCTCGCCCCAATGCATGTCCTCACCCACTTTCACCTTTTGCTGCGCTTCCCGCGGCACCCCGTACACGACGGCCTCCGCTCCCGACCGCAAGCTCCCCACGCCGCCACCAAGGCCAAGTGTCGGGATCCGTCGGCCAACTTCTTTTCTTCGGTATGCAACCAGTGGGTCAGTCTACGGTGTCGCCAGTGATTGAGAAATGATGCTGCCCTAACCGAGCACTTCTGAAACCCCTCGCAAGGATGCTGGCTGAGCTTAGTTGTCCGTTGCTTGTGGTAAGACACCGTTCACACCTTCGAAAATAAGTAGATCGTACAGTTTGGCCGGTGCCCAGTGCGCTATACGCAGATATTAAAATCGAAAGCCAACAAATTCTTCTCACGTTCCAAACACGTGGCCACAAACAGCGTCCAACTGTGCCAAGTGAGCTCGAGTAGGGGCTACTTTCTGGAACCCGTGTTGGCAGTGCACGGGGCCGGTGGGGCGCAACCAACTTGGGGCTAGTTAGGCCTAGCGTCGGTAACCGACACTTGCGGCACACAGGGCTAGTTGGGCGCAGGATGGGCAGAGCGATAAGAATCAATAGAGGCGGCGCAGGGAGATCGACTGACCCAAGGGGCCACGTTGGGGCAACGAGAAAGGAGGTAGGCGGCGCACATAGCTTGTGCGGCAGGCGTTGGCGGCAAGAGGAATAGCGTATGCCAGAGGGGGACTGTTAAAACAGGAAGGGTCTGCTTATCAGGAGCGAGCCTCGAGAACCGAAGCTGGCGGTGCACAAGGCTACGTAGCCAGTGGTGCTAGGGGAATGCGTTGGGGACCCACGTCGGCGGCGACCAACGCTGGCGGGGCTTGGAAAGGGCTAGGATGGGCTAGTGTCCGAGCCGGTGCTATCAGCGCCGAGGGCCAGCGGGGCCAAAGTCGCACAAGTCTAATGGCCAGTGGCGTCTAGTGGCCAACGAGGGCTGGCCCCTGGAGTCAGAAAGAACGGGTGACAGCATCCGTTCGGCTAGTTATCAAAGGCCGTGGCATTCACGTCACACCAGTGCAGCAACCGCTCGCGGTTCGGTGAAGCTGATCTCGGCTACACGCAAGAGTGACCCTGGGTAAGAGTGGCCTTCGGTGCGCGGCATTTGGAGGGCGCGGGTGGGCCAAACCCAAGCGCGCAAGCCGCTGATCTCGCAGCGCGTTCAGAGGTCTGGAGACCCCAATGGGCCCACACCTCAGGTCACTCCGGCGAAAGGTCACTCCGGCGAAAGGTCACTCTTACGTACTCTTACATAGAGTGCCCAGCGTACCGAATTCCCGACATGCAACAAAGTGTGCAAGCTGGAGCGAGTGCTGGCGGACAAGAAATCGGCGCCACACTGGGTCAAGGGGATCATCGGGGCGACGGCTGGGGAAAGGAATCGGCGGCCCACCATGGCAGTCCTGAGTGCTGGGAGCTAGAGTGAGAATCCCCAAATGCAAGCGCAAGCACTGTTCAGCGCATGTCGTACGTCGATTGCCCTTGTCGTCGAGACCCCCACTGCGATTACGGGGGCCCCAGGGCTCGAACACCCAACTCTGCCCCACCGCGCTCCTCTGGATCTCGGGGATGGTCATGGGCAGGAGCTCGGAGAAGTACGCGCCCTCGGTGTACAGCCTCCAGCACGCGCCGGGCCCTGACAGGGAGGACGCAAGCAGCTGCGGGAAAAAGGGGGGTATGCTCCACGAGCTCACAGCATACCATTCGGTTCTCCTCCACCTCCTCCTCCTCCTCCTCCTCCTCCTCCTCCTCCTCCTCCCTTCTCCTCCTCCTCCCCCTCCTCCTCCTTCTCCTCCTACTCCTCCTTTCTCGTGTCGTGACGACCTTGGCGTTGGGTTCTGGCACCGCGTTGGGCCGTTCAACCTTGAGCGGTCGCGGCTCCCCGATGGCGCAGATCGTTCGGTGCCCGCCGATGCTGGACCGCTGGCGGCGCTAAACCTGGAATGCCCGTGCTGGGGCCATCGCCGCGTCGACACGACACGACCCTACGGAATTCGTCTTCGTCGTCGGCCTCCTCGCCCTCCTCCTCCTACTCCCTCCTCGTCCTCCTCCTCCTCCTCCCTCCTCCTCCTCCTCCTCCTCCTCCTCCTCACTCCTCCTCTTTCGCTCCTCCTCCTCCTTCTCCTCCTCATTATCCTCCTCCTCCTCCTCGTTCTCCTCCTCCTCCTCCTCCTCCTCCTCCTCCTGCAGGAGGAGCAGGGGGGAGGAGCCAGGACATCGGCGACTGGCCAGAATCCTCGACAACCCGAGGGCCGGCGTGTCATCTGGAATCGTTCGCTTGACAGCTGTGGGTCCGCAAGCGGGCTACGGAGACAGAAACTGGCGAGGAGCCTCCGGTGCGTTCTTTCTCGAGACGCCAGAAGTCTGGTGATGAGTCGCCGAAAAGGCTACAGCCAAGCAAACTTCTGGATCCGTGGTTCTAGAAGCTCGAGAATGACGGGTGGAGAGGACGAGAAAGAGGAGGAGGAGGAGGAAGAGGAGGAGGAGGACGAGGAGGAGGATGAGGACGACGAGCAAGAGGAGGCGGAGGAAGAAGAAAGAGCGCCAGGACAAAAAGGAGCAGGAGAAGGAGCAGGATGAGCAGGAGGAGGGGCGGAGGAGAAGGAACAGAAGAAGGAGGACGGCGAGAGAAGGGAAAGGAGAGAAGAGGGTAAGAAGGAGGCGGAGGAGGAAGAGAAGGAGGAGAACGACAGCGACGAGGGCCGCTGCCTGTACGGCCAGCGCGGCCCCGTCGCTGGTTGGCGTTCGCCTGCGAGATCGGCGTGATCTGCAGGCTGTCCATGCCCATCCTGCCCCGCTCCCCTCCTCCGTCTCCCTCCTCCCTCCTCGTGCTCCTCATCCTTCCTCCTCCTCCGCCTCCTCCTCCTCGTCCTCATTCTTCTCCAACCTCGTCCTCCTCCTCCTCCTCCTCCTCATCATCATCATCCTCCTCCTATTCTTGCTCCTCCTCCTCCTCCTCCGCCTCCTCCTGATCCTCTTCCTCCTTCTCCCCCTCCTCTTCCTCCCTCCTCCTCCTCCTCCTCCTCCCCCTCCTCCTCCTCCGTCCTCCTCCTCCTCCTCCTCCTCCTCCTCCTCCTCCTCCTCTCCTCCTCCCTCCTCCTTCTCCTCCTCCTTCTCCTCCTCCTCCTCGTCCTCATTATTCTCCTCCTCCACCTCATCCTCTCCTCCTCCTCCTCCTCCTCCTCCTCCTCCTCCTCCTCCTCCTCCTCCTCCTCCTCCTCCTCCCTCCTTCCTCCTCCTCCTCCTCCTCTCCTCCTCCTCCTCCTCCTCCTCCTCCCCTCCCCTCCTCCTCCTCCTCCTCCCTCCTCCTCCTCCTCCTTCTCCTCTCCTCGTCTCCATTATTCTCCACCTCCATCCTCATCCTCATCCTCCTCCTCCTCCTCCTCCTCCTCCTCCTCCTCCTCCTCTCCTCCTCCCTCCTCCCTCCTTCTCCCCCTCCTTTTCCTCCCTCCTCCTCTCATCCTCCTCCTCCTCCTCCTCCTCCTCCTCCTTCTCCTTCTCCTGCCCTCCTCCCACCTCCTCCTCCTCCTCTTCCTCCTCTCCTCCTCCTCCTCCTCCTCCTCGTTCTCATTCTTCTCCTCCTCACCTCCACCTCCCTCCTCCTCCTCCTCCTCCTCCTCCTCCTCCTCCTCTCCTCCTCTGCTCCTCCTCCCTCCTCCTCCTCCTCCTCCTCCTCCTCCTCCTGCTCCTGCTCCCTCCTCCTCCTCCTCCTCCTCTCCTCCTCCTCCTCTTCTCTTTCTCCTCCTCCTCCTCCTTCTCCTCCTCCTCCTCCTCCTCCTCCTCCTCCTCCTCCTCCTCCTCCTTCCTCCCTCTCCTCGGGAGGAGGAAGAGGGCTCTATAGGGGAGGGGGCAGTGTCCTGAAGGTCCTCGGCGGGCTGCCGAGGGGGCCAACGGCAGCGCGCGTGCAGGCCGCCCGTCTCCCACACGTTCGGTGCGCTCGGGGCGTTGGGTAAATCGAGGCCTTCGGGTCGGGCTGGGGCTGTTTGTTGGGCGGCGATCTCCTGGGCCCCCCTCGTTGGGGGCCCTCCCCTCGACGGCCAGGGCCGCCCCGACGTGGGCCCGGCGCTCGCCGCGGCAGCGAGGGCTCCCAGGCCCCCTTCCCTGCGTGGGCGGCCGCTCCGCCCCGCTCCGCGTCGCACGGCGCTCGGGCGACGCGGGCGTGGATTGTTCTGCTTTTTTGAAGGGGCCCTGGAACACACAAAGAAATACAGGATTCCCAATCTTTTCCTATATTTTCTGGGTTTTTGTCTCCCCCCCCCACTTCCCGTATTTTCCCATATTTTCTGGGAATCGATGATTAATCGTGTCTGTGTGTGTTTTTCCCCTCCTGATTTTTGTTCGGCGGCAAGCGACGGGGGGGGGGAACGAGAAGGAGAAGGCCTTCTCGGAAGGCGGCGGGACTTCTCCGAAGCCCCCGCGCGCCTCCCGAGAAGTCTCTTCTGCGTCTCCGGGGAAGGCTTAGAGAACACTTCTCGGCAGACCAGGGGGCTTCCGAGCCTTCTCAGAAGGCGCCCGCCCCTTCTCGCTGCCCTCCCCTCGCTCGCCGCCGGTCAGAGCCAAGCGCCAGCTCCCATGGCGCAGCTTCGCTAAGCGCCGGGCGGGGGCCGACGGAGGGCCCGAGAAGCAGCGGGCAGCGCGGGGGCCAGGGAGCGGCACCGCGGACGTCCGCGGGCCCACGGCGCGGGGGAACCCAGACATCCGACGCCTCGATTTTTTCGAGACACGGGCCCCGGACCTCCCGACCACTTCCCCAGGGCCGGTCTGTCGCCCCGAGTCGTTTTTGGACGGTCCCGAGGCCCGGCGAGGGCCCCGAGAGGCCGAAAACGACGAAAAACCTCCGTCTCGATTTTTTCGAGACGCCCGATGTCTGGGAACAGAGCGCCAGGCCCGAGGCACGGCGCCAGTGCCGCCTGGTCCGGCGGCGGCGCTCGCCGAGCCCCGCGCGGCGGCGGGGCCCGCCGCCCGAGCCGCGCGCCGGACTCCGTGCCCGCGCTGCCCGCCAGCGCTCGGCCGTCCGTTCCCCGCGCATGTGTTGTCGGCCTCGTGCTCGCGCTGGTTTCTCTCCCGCGAGAGAGGGCCCGAGATGCTCCCCGCCGATTGCTCCTCGCCCCCCCTCCTCCTCCTCCTCCTCCTCCTCCTCCTCCTCCCCCCTCCTCCTCCTCACCTCCCTCCTCCTCCTCCTCCTCCTCCTCCTCCTCCTCCTCCTCCTCCTCCTCCTCCCTCCTCCTCCTCCTCCTCCTCCTCCTCCTCCTCCCCTCCTCCTCCTCCACCTCACCTCCTCCTCCTCCTCCTCCTCCCCTCCTCCTCCTCCTCCTCCTCCTCCTCCTCCTCCTCCTCCTCCTCCGCCCCCCCCCCACCAAAAAAAAAAATGCACGCGCCCGAGCGGTGGCCACGCCGCGGAGACTCGGAGGGGCCCCTCCCTCCCCCCCGCCTTGCACTCCCCCCTGCGCCGTCGGCTGCGCCCGTGGCCGCTCGGCTGCAGGGCCCCCCCCGGTCGGAGCTGGGGAGGGAGGAGCTCGGGGGGACAGGAGTGCCTCCTCGGCTGATGTTGGTTCCCCATCCTACTGACCCAGACATCGGGCGTCTCGAAAAAATCGAGACGAAGGTTTTTCGTCGTTTTCGGCCTCCCGGGGCCCTCGCCGGGCCTCGGGGCCGTCAAAAAACGTCTCGGGACGAAGAGCTGGTCCCAGGGAAGCGGTCGGGAGGTGGGGGCCCGCGTCTCGAAAAAGTCGAGACGTCGGATGTCTGGGGAAGGACCACATCCCAGAAATAATTTCGAGCACCCGGACAAGTGTCACAAGAGTGTCGAAACAGTGTCGGGCGAGTGTCCCCCAGGGCCCGACACGTGAAAACCCCTGAGTTTCGGTCCTTTTTTGGGGCGCTCGAAATTCTTCCTGGTGACCAAGGCCAAAGTAGGTTGGAGCATCATAACCCGAGAGATCCGACGTCGTGATTTTTGTCGCAACATAGGGCCCCCGGCAGTCTCGACCCCTTCCCCAGGACCGGCTTTTCATCCCGAGTCGTTTTTTGACGGTCTTGGGGCCCAGCGAGGGCCCCGAAAGGCCGAACATTGGGAAATACCCTTGCCTTGATTGTTTCAATACGTTGGATCTTTGGGTCCCTCGCCAAAACGGGAGCCCCATGCTACACGATGTCTGCCAGGAGCGGCCTCGCGCGCGGCGACGAGGCGGAGCAAGTGCAGAGACAGTGCACGCGGCGGCCCGGCCCTCAGGCCTCACTCGGGATGCAGTCCTGCAGACGTCCGCCACCGGGGCGAGGATGACGGGGAGGGTACACGCAATCCCGCGGGCCGAATGCTACACACACGAGCAGTTACACACACACACACATACACACTTACTTTTCCGTCGGCGGCTAGGCAGAGCGACTGCGCTGGCGGATGCGGCAAATGTAGGGCATGCAATTGCAAATTAAGCCGCGATGCGCAGGAGGAGGAGAGGGAAGTCCCGGCGCGGGCGGGAGGGAGACGCGCTCACGCACACACACATACACACACACACACACGCACACACACACCTATCCTGGATCCCTCTCAACACATCTCGTGCGAAAGCTGTGCGGTGGAGATGCCAGTTGGACGCGCCCGGCGGAGGAAAGGGAGAAGGTGGTGCACTTCGAAGCTCCCCGCTTCGTACCCTCCCCGTCCCCTGCCACCTCCCCGTCACAACACCGGCGAACGCCAACCCCGTCGAAAGCCAACCCGGGCGAAAGCCAATCCCGGCAAAACGAAGCCCGGCTAAAGCCAACCCCGGCGAAAGCACGCCCGGCGAAACAAAGCCTTGATGAGACTGTCACCCGCCGATCTCCCTGCCCTGCGAAGACTGCCGCTCGTCCTCGTCCTCCGCCTCCCGCTCCGCCTCCCTCGTCCTCCTCGGGCTGCCCCCCTCTTCGCTCGAAGGCCCTCTCAGAGCGCACGCGGCGACAGGTGTGGAAGTGAGAGAGAGAGGGGGGGAATATAGTCATATATACACCTAATATATATATATATATATATATAGAGAGAGAACAACAGAACAGCAAATACATATGTGGGGAGGGCTCCTCCTCCTCTTGCGTGATGTGCGACCACCTGGACTTCCGCAGGCCTCAGTAGACGCACTGGAGGTCCCCTCGCGCTGCTTCGCGTCCACCTCCTCCTCCTCCCCGTCCTCCTCCTCCTCTTCATGCTCCGTCGAGGGCGGGTGGTTTTCAACATGTGGCTTTCGCCGTAGCGACGCACACACTCACTTGAAGCATTTGTAACCTTTTCACGGGTTGAGGGCCGGTGGTTCTCGAAATATGGCTCTCGCCCTGACGCCGCGCACATTAGTTTCAAACAGTTGCAGCAATTTCACAGATTGACGGCGGCTCCTTTTCGATATGTGGCTCTCGTCTAAGCGCCGCGCACATTCGTTTCAAACAGTCGCAAGGATGTGTTGGAGCGATTCAGGATTGTGAGGGCACAACATGTACATTGATTCGCGGTGTCAAGTCCCAGGAGATGTCTGGATCCCTTCAGGATCGTCAGGGCGCAACACTCAGGTTGACTCGTGGCGTTCATATCCTGCGGTTGAACCCCCAAACAGGGCACTTCGCTCAGTGGAAATGAACCCCTGTAGGTGCCTATGTCTAGGGAGCTTGGAGGGAGGGTCGTTGATGAGTCATGGGTTGTCACTGGGCTCGACCCTCCTTCTCCCCCTCCTCTTTCTCCTTCTCCTCCTGCTGTTCACTACAATACCCCAGCCTTCTCCATCTTCCCCCCCCCCTCTTCCTCATCCTCCCCCTCGTCACCCTCCTCCTCCTCCTTCTCCGTCCCCTCCCCTCGATTCTTTCGAACGGCTTCCGCCAGCGGCTGCATACGCTGCCGCGCCCCCCCCCCGTCCGAAAGGCCAGGGGTGGGCTCCCTGCACGCCGCGTGCGCTGCAGCGTCGGGGCATCCCCGGGCCACGTGCGCTGCCGTGGCCACCGGGGCACCGCCTCCCCCCTTAGCACGTGAAGAGAATGGGTGCGGGAGGAGGAGGAGGAGGAGGAGGAGGAGAAAAGGAGAAAAGGAGAAAAAGGAGAAACAGGAGGAGGATGAGGAGGAGGAGGAGGAGGAGGAGGAGGAGGAGGAGAAAAGGAGGAGGTCTTTCACCGTGTTCGGACCCTGTGCCCGGATCTTCGCGGGGGGGGGCTAGAGGGGGGGGGTGGGAGGGGTGCCACGCGGATGCTCAGCCGGGCTGTATCTGGCCCATCCCAACATGTGACGGGGGCTCCAAGCGTCACAAGTGCGCTAGGGGGATAAGATAGCTCCGCTAGATGGGCGGAGCTCACATCGTCAGGATCTGCACCCCCCCAGAACCACTGAGGGCGCACGTAGCTCACTCACATATGCTAGGTTAGGCGGGACACAACCCACCTCAGCATCCACGCAGAACCCCCCCTCATTCCCTCAGCAGCCCCCCGCAGAGATCCCCGTGGAGCCCTCCACGGGCGCCAGGACCGTCAACAGGAACGCCTCAGGACGCGAAGAACTGGTGCTGGGGAGAGCCCTCGGGCCTCAGGCCCCGCTTCCGCTACGGTCAGGAACTCTTGCCTCGCGCGTCGCAGCGGCGGCCCCGGCGACGCG